GGGGGGGGGTGGGGGCAGAGATTTGTGACGTTATATTTGAGAAGTGGGGGGGGGGGGCTGACTTTTATGGACGGCTCCCTTATTTCGGATTTGAATCTTGAGATGAAATGTGGCTCACCCCGAATTTTTTTGTACGGGGACCACATTTGGCTTATTGCCTCCCCCACCGACCCCCCTTAGCTTGAGCTCATCGTCACAACCAGCCCCCCCCCCCACGACCCTTGAGACGGCTCAGCCCCCCGTGGTGGTGCCTCGTGAATGTGGTAACGAGCGTTTGCGACGTCGTATACCGTGTAGACAAATGTGTACATTTGTAGTTTGTTAGAGATGGGTTTTGTTTGGCCTCCCGAGTTCATGAACGGATTTTACGGAGCGACGGGAAACGAACCGGGGAGGTCCTCCCTCCCTCCTCCCTCCATCCCTCCCTCCCTCCTCCCTCCCTCCTCCCCCCTCCTCCCTCCCCCTCCCTCCCCCCTCCTCCTCCCCCTCCTCCTCCTCCTTCTCCCTCCCACCTCCCTCCCTCCTCCTCCTCCTCCTCCTCCCCCTCCTCCCTCCCTTCCTCCCCCCTCCTCCCTCCCCCTCCTCCTCCCTCCCTCCTCCTCCTCCCTCCCTCCCCCTCCTCCTCCCTCCCCCCTCCTCCTCCCCCCTCCTCCCCCTCCTCCCCCCTCCCTCCTCCCCGCTCCTCCTCTCCCCTCCTCCCCCCTCTCCCCTCCCTCCTCCTCCCCCCTCCTCCTCCTCCCCCCTCCTCCTCCACCCTCCTCCTCTCCCCTCCTCCCCCCTCTCCCCTCCCTCCTCCTCCCCCCTCCTCCCCCTCCTCCTCCCTCCCCCCTCCTCCTACCCCCTCCTCCCCCTCCTCCTCCTCCCCCCTCCTCCTACCCCCTCCTCCCCCTCCTCCCCCTTCCCTCCTCCCCGCTCCTCCTCTCCCCTCCTCCTCCCTCCTCCTCCTCCCCCCTCCTCCTCCACCCTCCTCCTCTCCCCTCCTCCCCCCTCTCCCCTCCCTCCTCCTCCCCCCTCCTCCCCCTCCTCCCTCCTCCTCCTCCCTCTTCCTCCCTCTCCCTCATCCTCCCTCTCTCCTCCCCCTCCTCCTCCTCCTCCACCTCCCTCCCTCCTCCTCCCCCCTCCCTCCTCCCCCTCCTCCTCCTCCCTCCTCCCCCCTCCTCCTCCTCCCTCCCCTCCTCCCCCCTCCTCCTCCCCCTCCTCCTCCCCCCTCCTCCTTCTCCCTCCCACCTCCCTCCCTCCTCCTCCCTTCCTCCCCCCTCCCTCCTCCCTCCCTCCTCCTCCCCCCTCCTTCATCCCCCTCCTGCTCCTCCTCCCTCCTCCCCCTCCCTCCCTCCTCCTCCTCCCTTCCTCCTCCCTCCTCCCTCCTCCTCCCTCCTCCTCCCTCCCTCCTCCACCTACTCCTCCCTCCCTCCTCCACCTACTCCTCCCTCCCTCCTCCACCTACTCCTCCCTCCCTCCTGAGGACGGCTGCTTTCGTTGTGGCCGAAACGTCGTGAGAATTATTTTATGTTTTATTTTTATTATTTTAATACTTCCCTTCTACGTGACTTTACCGAAATAACCAAGAAGATGAATGAATCCCTGTAGTCACGAAAGCTTTAAATCGAACCTTAGGAGGATGTTTCTAAGGACCTTGAACAGCGAGTCCAGGCTCCTGCACTCCACGTATCGGTGCGTCACCGTCTCCACTTCACCGCAGAACCGGCATTCCGGGGACGTGTCGGTGAAGCGCGCCAGGGAGGCATTGGCGGTGACGGTGCCGTGGGCGATGCTCCAGCCGAGGTCACCGATGCGGTTGTACGTCGGGCTGGAGTAGAGTTGCCTCCAGCGAGGCCTCTCCGGAGAGACGCAGGGCAGTAGGTGTCCTGTTGGTGACACCGGACCGTGTAGGAGTAGAGAGACGCAGGGTAGCAGGTCTTTCCTCCAGGCCTGGTCCTTGTGGCTCCTAAGGGCGTCCTGTTGGTGACACTGCACCATGTAGGAGTAGAGAAATGCAGGGCAGCAGGTCTCTCCTCCAGGCCTGGTCTTTGTGGCTCCTCAGGGTGTCGTGTTGGTGACACCGCACCATGTAGGAGTAGAGAGACGCAGGGTAGCAGGTCTCTCCTCCAGGCCTGGTCCTTGTGGCTCCTCAAGGTGTCCTGTTGGTGAAACTGAACCATGTAGGAGTAGAGAGACGCAGGGTAGCAGGGCTTTCCTCCAGGCCTGGTCCTTGTGGCTCCTCAAGGTGTCTTGTTGGTGAAACTGAACCATGTAGGAGTAGAGAGACGCAGGGTAGCAGGTCTCTCCTCCAGGCGTGGTCCTTGTGGCTCCTAAGGGTGTCTTGTTGGTCACACCGGACCATGTAGGAGTAGAGAGACGCAGGGTCGCAGGTCTTTCCTCCAGGCCTGGTCCTTGTGGCTCCTCAAGGTGTCCTGTTGGTGACACCGCACCATGTAGGAGTAGAGAGACGCAGGGTAGCAGGTCTCTCCTCCAGGCGTGGTCCTTGTGGCTCCTAAGGGTGTCTTGTTGGTCACACCGGACCATGTAGGAGTAGAGAGACGCAGGGTCGCAGGTCTTTCCTCCAGGCCTGGTCCTTGTGGCTCCTCAAGGTGTCCTGTTGGTGACACCGCACCATGTAGGAGTAGAGAGACGCAGGGTAGCAGGTCTCTCCTCCAGGCGTGGTCCTTGTGGCTCCTAAGGGTGTCCTGTTGGTCACACCAGACCATGTAGGAGTAGAGAGATGCAGGGCAGCAGGTCTTTCCTCCAGGCCTGGTCCTTGTGGCTCCTCAGGGCGTCCTGTTGGTGACACCGCACCATGTAGGAGTAGAGAGACGCAGGGCAGGTCTCTCCTCCAGGCCTGGTCCTTGTGGCTCCTCAGGGTGTCCTGTTGGTGAAACTGAACCATGTAGGAGTAGAGAGACGCAGGGTAGCAGGTCTTTCCTCCAGGCCTGGTCCTTGTGGCTCCTCAGGGCGTCCTGTTGGTGACACCGCACCATGTAGGAGTAGAGAGACGCAGGGCAGGTCTCTCCTCCAGGCCTGGTCCTTGTGGCTCCTCAGGGTGTCCTGTTGGTGAAACTGAACCATGTAGGAGTAGAGAGACGCAGGGTAGCAGGTCTTTCCTCCAGGCCTGGTCCTTGTGGCTCCTCAGGGCGTCCTGTTGGTGACACCGGACCATGTAGGAGTAGAGAGACGCAGGGTCGCAGGTCTTTCCTCCAGGCGTGGTCCTTGTGGCTCCTCAGGGTGTCCTGTTGGTGAAACTGAACCATGTAGGAGTAGAGAGACGCAGGGTAGCAGGTCTTTCCTCCAGGCCTGGTCCTTGTGGCTCCTCAGGGCGTCCTGTTGGTGACACCGGACCATGTAGGAGTAGAGAGACGCAGGGTCGCAGGTCTTTCCTCCAGGCGTGGTCCTTGTGGCTCCTCAGGGTGTCCTGTTGGTGAAACTGAACCATGTAGGAGTAGAGAGACGCAGGGTAGCAGGTCTTTCCTCCAGGCCTGGTCCTTGTGGCTCCTCAGGGCGTCCTGTTGGTGACACCGGACCATGTAGGAGTAGAGAGACGCAGGGTCGAAGGGCTCTCCTCCAGGCGTGGTCCTTGTGGCTCCTCAGGGTGTCCTGTTGGTCACACCGGACCGTGTAGGAGTAGAGAGACGCAGGGTCGCAGGTCTCTCCTCCAGGCGTGGTCCTTGTGGCTCCTCAGGGCGTCCTGTTGGTGACACCGGACCATGTAGGAGTAGAGAGACGCAGGGTCGCAGGTCTTTCCTCCAGGCGTGGTCCTTGTGGCTCCTCAGGGTGTCCTGTTGGTGAAACTGAACCATGTAGGAGTAGAGCATCTTCCTCTTGATGTTTGCGAAGGCCACCTTCTGTAAATCTTTCGTCTTCGCTTGTCGGCAGTGGCGATGCAGCGGCACGAGGGAGAACTCCGGTGGAGGGGGACCGAGAGGGACCTCGTCATCCCTCCTCCTCCCTCCTCCCTCCTTCCTCCCTCCTCCTCCCTCCTGGTGATGGTGGAGGCAGTAATGACAGTGGTAATTGTGATGGTGATGATGGTGATGATGAGCATGATGGTGATGGTGATGATGGTGATGTTGGTGGTGATGATGGTGATGATGCTGGTGATGATGGTGATGATGGTGATGATGATGGTGATGATGATGATGGTGGTGATGATGGTGATGATGGTGATGATGATGGTGATGATGGTGATGATGATGATGGTGATGATGATGATGGTGGTGATGATGGTGATGATAGAGGCAGTAATGACAGTGGTAATTGTGATGGTGATGGTGATGATGGTGATGATGGTCATGATGATGGTGATGATGGTGGTGATGATGGTGATGATGGTGGTGATGATGGTGATGATGATGGTGATGATGATGGTGATGATGCTGGTGATGATGGTGATGATGGTGATGATGATGGTGATGATGATGATGGTGGTGATGATGGTGATGATGGTGATGATGATGGTGATGATGGTGATGATTATGGTGATGATGATCATGGTGGTGATGATGGTGATGATGGAGGCAGTAATGACAGTGGTAATTGTGATGGTGATGGTGATGATGGTGATGATGGTCATGATGATGGTCATGATGATGGTGATGATGGTGGTGATGATGGTGATGATGGTGGTTATGATGGTGATGATGGTGATGATGATGGTGGTGATGATGGTGATGATGGTGATGATGATGGTGATGATGGTGATGATGATGGTGATGATGATGGTGATGATGATGATGATGGTGATGATGATGGTGATGATGGTGATGATGATGGTGGTGATAATGGTGATGATGATGGTGATGATGATGATGGTGATGATGGTGGTGATGATGGTGATGATGGTGGTGATGATGATGGTGATGATGGTGATGATGGTGATAATGCTGGTGATGGTGATGATGATGATGGTGATGATGATGGTGATGATGGTGGTGATGATGGAGGCAGTAATGACAGTGGTAATTGTGATGGTGATGATGGTCATGATGATTTGGAATGTGTCCGCTCAGTCCCAGGCAGAGATCAGCAGCCTCTCTGCCGGCATGCAAGCCGCACAAGAAAACAGCGCCAAGATAGCAGAATTACAGACGCAGATGGTGAGTGGGTGGGTGAGCTGGTGAGTGAGTGGATTAATGAGTGGGTGAGTGAGTGGGTGAGTGGGTGGGTGAGTGGGTGAGTGAGTGGGTGAGTGAGTGAGTGGGTGAGTGAGTGGGTGGGTGGGTGATTGGGTGAGCTGGTGAGTGGGTGGGTGGGCTGGTGAGTGAGTGGGTGAGCTGGTGAGTGAGTGGGTGAGTGAGTGGGTGAGCTGGTGAGTGGGTGGGTGAGCTGGTGAGTGGGTGGGTGAACTGGTGAGTGAGTGGGTGAGTGGGTGAGCTGGTGAGTGAGTGGGTTGGTGAGCTGGTGAGTGAGTGGGTGAGCTGGTGAGTGAGTGGGTGGGTGAGCTGGTGAGTGAGCGGGTGAGCTGGTGAGTGAGTGGGTGAGCTGGTGAGTGAGTGGGTGAGTGAGTGGGTGACCTGGTGAGTGAGTGGGTGAGTGGGTGGGTGAGTGGGTGAGCTGGTGAGTGAGTGGATTAATGAGTGAGTGGGTGAGTGAGTGTGTGGTTGAGTGAGTGAGTGGGTGAGCTGGTGAGTGAGCTCGTGAGTGGGTGAGCTGGTGAGTGAGTGGATGAGCTGGTGAGTGAGTGAGTGAGTGGGTGGGTGAGTGAGTGGGAGAGGTGGTGAGTGAGTGTATTAATGAGTGGGTGAGTGAGTGGGTGAGTGGGTGAGTGAGTGGGTGAGTGAGTGGGTGAGTGAGTGGGTGAGCTGGTGACTGAGTGGGTGAGTGGGTGGGTGGGTGAGTGAGTGAGTGAGTGGGTGAGTGAGTGGATTAATGAGTGAGTGGGTGAGTGGGTGAGTGAGTGGGTGGGTGAGTGGGTGAGTGAGTGAGTGGGTGAGTGGGTGGGTGAGTGGGTGAGCTGGTGAGTGAGTGGATTAATGAGTGGGTGAGTGAGTGGGTGAGTGAGTGGGTGAGTGGGTGAGTGAGTGGGTGAGTGAGTGGGTGAATGAGTGGGTGAGCTGGTGACTGAGTGGGTGAGTGGGTGGGTGGGTGGGTGAGTGAGTGAGTGAGTGGGTGAGCGAGTGGATTAATGAGTGAGTGGGTGAGTGGGTGAGTGAGTGTGTGGGTGAGTGGGTGAGTGAGTGAGTGGGTGAGTGGGTGGGTGAGTGGGTGAGCTGGTGAGTGAGTGGATTAATGAGTGGGTGAGTGAGTGGGTGAGTGAGTGGGTGAGTGAGTGGGTGAGTGAGTGGGTGAGCTAGTGACTGAGTGGGTGAGTGGGTGGGTGGGTGAGTGAGTGAGTGAGTGGGTGAGTGAGTGGATTAATGAGTGAGTGGGTGAGTGGGTGAGTGAGTGTGTGGGTGAGTGGGTGAGTGAGTGAGTGGGTGAGTGGGTGGGTGAGTGGGTGAGCTGGTGAGTGAGTGGATTAATGAGTGGGTGAGTGAGTGGGTGAGTGGGTGAGTGAGTGGGTGAGTGAGTGGGTGAGCTGGTGACTGAGTGGGTGAGTGGGTGGGTGGGTGAGTGAGTGAGTGGGTGAGTGAGTCGATTAATGAGTGAGTGGGTGAGTGGGTGAGTGAGTGTGTGGGTGAGTGGGTGAGTGAGTGAGTGGGTGAGTGGGTGGGTGAGTGGGTGAGCTGGTGAGTGAGTGGATTAATGAGTGGGTGAGTGAGTGGGTGAGTGGGTGAGTGAGTGGGTAAGTTGGTGGGTGAGTTGGTGAGTGAGTGTATGGGTGAGTGAGGGTGTGGATGAGCGAGTGTGTGGTTGAGTAAGCGAGTGATGGTAGTAGTGGTGGTGGTGTGTGGTAGTAGTGTGTGGTGGTGTGTGGTGGTAGTAGTGGTGGTGTGTGGTGTGTAGTACTAGTGGTGGTGACCGTGGCCATCTGTGCAGGAGCAGTCTGCCCGCTGGCTGGGCGCCTTCCCGCAGGGCGCCGGGTCGCTGGTCACGTGGCCCCGCCTGCTGGCCGCTCTGCGCGGGGAGGACAGCGGAGCGAGCCACGAGCTGCAGGTGTGGGGAGTGTGGAGAGGGTGTGTGTGTCTGTGTGTGTGTGTAGTGTGTGTGTGTCTGTGTGTGTGTAGTGTGTGTGTAGTGTGTGGTGTGTGTGTGTATGTGTGTGTGTGTCTGTGTGTGTGTGTAGTGTGTGTGTGTAGTGTGTGTGTGGGGAGTGTGGAGAGGGTGTGTGTGTCTGTGTGTGTGTGTAGTGTGTGTGTGTCTGTGTGTGTGTCTGTGTGTGGTGTGTGTGTATGTGTGGTGTGTGTGTGTGGGGAGTGTGGAGAGGGTGTGTGTGTCTGTGTGTGTGTAGTGTGTGTGTGTCTGTGTGTGTGTCTGTGTGTGTAGTGTATGGTGTGTGTGTGTATGTGTGTGTGTGTCTGTGTGTGTGTGTAGTGTGTGTGTGTAGTGTGTGTGTGTAGTGTGTGTGTCTGTGTGTGTGGGGAGTGTGGAGAGGGTGTGTGTGTGTCTGTGTGTGTGTAGTGTGGTGTGTGTGTCTGTGTGTGTGTGTAGTGTGTGTGTCTGTGTGTGTGTGTAGTGTGTGTGTAGTGTGTGGTGTATGTGTGTGTGTGTCTGTGTGTGTGTGTCTGTGTGTGTGTGTGGTGTGTGTAGAGAGGGTGTGTGTCTGTGTGTGGTGTGTGTGTGTGTAGTGTGGTGTGTGTGTGTGTGGGGAGTGTGGAGAGGGTGTGTGTGTCTGTGTGTGTGTAGTGTGGTGTGTGTGTGTGGAGAGGGTGTGTGTCTGTGTGTGGTGTGTGTGTGTGTATGTGTGGTGTGTGTGTGTGGGGAGTGTGGAGAGGGTGTGTGTGTCTGTGTGTGTGTAGTGTGTGTGTGGTGTGTGTGGAGAGGGTGTGTGTCTGTGTGTGGTGTGTGTGTGTGTATGTGTGGTGTGTGTGTGTGGGGAGTGTGGAGAGGGTGTGTGTGTCTGTGTGTGTATAGTGTGGTGTGTGTGTCTGTGTGTGTGTCTGTGTGTGGTGTGTGTGTGTATGTGTGGTGTGTGTGTGGGGAGTGTGGAGAGGGTGTGTGTGTCTGTGTGTGTGTAGTGTGGTGTGTGTGTCTGTGTGTGTGTCTGTGTGTGTAGTGTGTGTGTGTATGTGTGTGTGTCTGTGTGTGGGGAGTGTGGAGAGGGTGTGTGTGTCTGTGTGTGTGTGTGGTGTGTGTGTGTAGTGTGTGTGTGTCTGTGTGTAGTGTGGTGTGTGTTGTGTGTGTGTGGTGTGTGTGTGTGTGGTGTGTGTGGTGTGTGTGTGTTGTGTGTGGTGTGTGTGTGGCGTGTGTGTGTGGTATGTGTGTGTTGTGTGTGGTGTGTGTGTGGCGTGTGTGTGTGTGGTGTGTGTGTGTGGTGTGTGGAGAGGGTGTGTGTGTGTGGTGTGTGTGTGTGGTGTGTGTGTGTGGTGTGTGTGGTGTGTGGTGTGTGTTGTGTGTGGTGTGTGTTTTGTGTGGTGTGTGTGTTGTGTGTGTGTGGTGTGTGTGGGGTGTGTGTGTTGTGTGTGTGTGTGTGGTGTGTGTGGGGTGTGTGTGTTGTGTGTGGTGTGTGTCTGTGTGGTGTGTGTGTGTGGTGTGTGTGTGTGTGGTGTGTGTGTGTGGTGTGTGTGGTGTGTGTGTGTAGTGTGGTGTGTGTGTGTGGTGTGTGTGGTGTCTGGTGTGTGTGTGTTGTGTGTGTGTGTGGTGTGTGTGGTGTGTGTGTGTGGTTTGTGTGTGGTGTGTGTTGTGTGTAGTGTGGTGTGTGTGTGTGGTGTGTGTGGTGTCTGGTGTGTGTGTGGTGTGTGTGTGTGTGTGGCGTGTGTGGTGTGTGTGTGTGGTGTGTGTGTGTGGTTTGTGTGTGTGTAGTGTGTGTGTGTTGTGTGTGTGTGGTGTGTGTGTGTGTTGTGGGGATTTGTGTAAGTGTGTATGAGTGTGCACCTAGCCTGGCACAGTAGGGGGGTACAGCTGGTGATACATCTACCAGTGGTCATCTCAGTCGGCCGACCCATGGCACCTGCTGGGTCTGTCTCGTGACCTCCTGCACCTAGCCTGGCACAGCAACAGCAGAAGCAGCGTCAGTAGAACTCTCCTCTCGAACCACCGCGTTACAGAACCCACGGGTGTGCATGCTTGTTCTTCCTTGTTGTTGTTGTCATTGTAGTTGTTGTGGTTGTTTTCGTTGTTGTTGTCGTTGTAGTTGTTGTCATCATTGTTGTTGTTGTCATCATCGTTGTTGTTGTCATCATTGTTGTCGTTGTCGTCATTGTTGTTGTCGTCATTGTTGTTGTCATCATTGTTGTAGTCATCATTGTCGTTGTTGTCATTGTTGTTGTCGTCATTGTTGTAGTCATCATTGTCGTTGTTGTCATTGTTGTTGTCGTCATTGTTGTTGTCATCATTGTTGTTGTCATCATTGTCGTTGTTGTCATTGTTGTTGTCGTCATTGTCGTTGTCATCATTGTTGTTGTCGTCATTGTTGTTGTCGTCATTGTTGTTGTCGTCATTGTTGTTGTCATCATTGTCGTTGTCATCATTGTTGTTGTCATCATTGTTGTTGTCGTCATTGTTGTTGTCGTCATTGTTGTTGTCGTCATTGTTGTTGTCGTCATTGTCGTTGTCATCATTGTTGTTGTCATCATTGTCGTTGTCATCATTGTTGTTGTCATCATTGTTGTAGTCATCATTGTTGTTGTCATCATTGTTGTTGTCGTCATTGTTGTTGTCGTCATTGTTGTTGTCATCATTGTTGTTGTCGTCATTGTTGTTGTCGTCATTGTTGTTGTCGTCATTGTTGTTGTCGTCATTGTTGTTGTCATCATTGTTGTTGTCATCATTGTCGTTGTCATCATTGTTGTTGTCGTCATTGTTGTTGTCATCATTGTTGTAGTCATCATTGTTGTTGTCATCATTGTTGTTGTCGTCATTGTTGTTGTCGTCATTGTTGTTGTCATCATTGTTGTTGTCGTCATTGTTGTTGTCATCATTGTTGTTGTCGTCATTGTTGTTGTCATCATTGTCGTTGTCGTCATTGTTGTTGTCGTCATTGTTGTTGTCATCATTGTCGTTGTTGTCATTGTTGTTGTCGTCATTGTTGTTGTCATCATTGTTGTTGTCGTCATTGTTGTTGTCGTCATTGTTGTAGTCATCATTGTTGTTGTCATCATTGTTGTTGTCATCATTGTTGTTGTCATCATTGTTGTTGTCATCATTGTTGTTGTCATCATTGTTGTTGTCATCATTGTTGTTGTCATCATTGTCGTTGTCATCATTGTTGTTGTCATCATTGTCGTTGTCGTCATTGTTGTTGTCATCATTGTTGTTGTCATCATTGTTGTTGTCATCATTGTTGTTGTCATCATTGTTGTTGTCATCATTGTCGTTGTCATCATTGTTGTTGTCATCATTGTTGTTGTCATCATTGTTGTTGTCATCATTGTTGTTGTCATCATTGTTGTTGTCATCATTGTTGTAGTCATCATTGTTGTTGTCATCATTGTTGTTGTCATCATTGTTGTTGTCATCATTGTTGTTGTCATCATTGTCGTTGTCATCATTGTCGTTGTCGTCATTGTTGTTGTCATCATTGTTGTTGTCATCATTGTTGTTGTCATCATTGTTGTTGTCATCATTGTTGTTGTCATCATTGTCGTTGTCGTCATTGTTGTTGTCATCATTGTTGTTGTCATCATTGTTGTTGTCATCATTGTTGTTGTCGTCATTGTTGTTGTCATCATTGTTGTTGTCGTCATTGTTGTTGTCGTCATTGTTGTTGTCGTCATTGTTGTTGTCGTCATTGTTGTTGTCATCATTGTTGTTGTCATCATTGTTGTTGTCGTCATTGTTGTTGTCATCATTGTTGTTGTCGTCATTGTCGTTGTCGTCATTGTTGTTGTCATCATTGTTGTTGTCATCATTGTTGTTGTCATCATTGTCGTTGTCGTCATTGTTGTTGTCGTCATTGTTGTAGTCATCATTGTTGTTGTCGTCATTGTTGTTGTCATCATTGTTGTTGTCATCATTGTTGTTGTCGTCATTGTTGTTGTCGTCATTGTTGTAGTCATCATTGTCGTTGTCGTCATTGTTGTTGTCATCATTGTTGTTGTCATCATTGTTGTTGTCATCATTGTTGTTGTCATCATTGTTGTTGTCGTCATTGTTGTAGTCATCATTGTTGTTGTCGTCATTGTTGTTGTCATCATTGTCGTTGTCGTCATTGTTGTTGTCGTCATTGTTGTTGTCATCATTGTTGTTGTCGTCATTGTTGTAGTCATCATTGTCGTTGTCGTCATTGTTGTTGTCGTCATTGTTGTAGTCATCATTGTTGTTGTCGTCATTGTTGTTGTCGTCATTGTTGTTGTCATCATTGTTGTAGTCATCATTGTTGTAGTCATCATTGTTGTTGTCGTCATTGTTGTTGTCATCATTGTTGTTGTCATCATTGTCGTTGTTGTCATTGTTGTTGTCGTCATTGTTGTTGTCATCATTGTTGTTGTTGTCATTGTTGTTGTCGTCATTGTTGTAGTCATCATTGTTGTTGTCGTCATTGTTGTTGTCGTCATTGTTGTTGTCATCATTGTTGTTGTCATCATTGTTGTTGTTGTCATTGTTGTTGTCATCATTGTTGTAGTCATCATTGTCGTTGTCGTCATTGTTGTTGTCATCATTGTTGTAGTCATCATTGTTGTTGTTGTCATTGTTGTTGTCGTCATTGTTGTTGTCATCATTGTTGTTGTTGTCATTGTTGTTGTCGTCATTGTTGTAGTCATCATTGTTGTTGTCGTCATTGTTGTTGTCGTCATTGTTGTTGTCATCATTGTCGTTGTTGTCATTGTTGTTGTCATCATTGTCGTTGTCGTCATTGTTGTTGTCATCATTGTCGTTGTCGTCATTGTCGTTGTTGTCATTGTTGTTGTCATCATTGTTGTTGTCATCATTGTTGTTGTCATCATTGTTGTTGTCATCATTGTTGTTGTCATCATTGTTGTTGTCGTCATTGTTGTTGTCATCATTGTCGTTGTCGTCATTGTCGTTGTTGTCATTGTTGTTGTCATCATTGTTGTTGTCATCATTGTTGTTGTCGTCATTGTCGTTGTCATCATTGTTGTTGTCATCATTGTCGTTGTTGTCATTGTTGTTGTCATCATTGTTGTTGTCATCATTGTTGTTGTCATCATTGTTGTTGTCGTCATTGTTGTTGTCATCATTGTTGTTGTCATCATTGTCGTTGTTGTCATTGTTGTTGTCGTCATTGTTGTAGTCATCATTGTCGTTGTTGTTATTGTCGTTGTCGTCATTGTTGTTGTCATCATTGTCGTTGTTGTCATTGTTGTTGTCATCATTGTTGTTGTCATCATTGTTGTTGTCGTCATTGTTGTTGTCGTCATTGTTGTTGTCGTCATTGTTGTTGTCATCATTGTTGTAGTCATCATTGTTGTTGTCATCATTGTCGTTGTTGTCATTGTTGTTGTCGTCATTGTTGTTGTCATCATTGTCGTTGTCGTCATTGTTGTTGTCGTCATTGTTGTTGTCATCATTGTCGTTGTCGTCATTGTTGTTGTCATCATTGTTGTTGTCGTCATTGTTGTTGTCATCATTGTTGTTGTCGTCATTGTTGTTGTCGTCATTGTTGTTGTCGTCATTGTTGTTGTCATCATTGTCGTTGTCATCATTGTCGTTGTTGTCATTGTTGTTGTCGTCATTGTTGTTGTCATCATTGTCGTTGTCGTCATTGTTGTTGTCGTCATTGTTGTTGTCATCATTGTCGTTGTTGTCATTGTTGTTGTCGTCATTGTTGTTGTCATCATTGTCGTTGTTGTCATTGTTGTTGTTGTCATCGTTGTTGTTGTCATCATTGTCGTTGTCATTGTAGTTGTTGCTGCTGTTTTCATCATCGTTGTTGTTGTCGTTGTCATTGTTGTTGTTGTCATCATCGTTGTTGTTGTCGTTGTCATCGTTGTTGTCATCATCGTTGTTGTTGTCGTTGTCATCGTTGTTGTTGTCATCGTTGTTGTTGTCGTTGTCATCGTTGTTGTTGTCATCATTGTTGTTGTTGCCGTTGTCATCGTTGTTGTTGTCATCATTGTTGTTGTTGCCGTTGTCATCATTGTTGTTGTCATCATTGTTGTTGTTGCCGTTGTCATCATTGTTGTTGTCATCATTGTTGTTGTTGTCATCATTGTTGTTGTTGCCGTTGTCATCATTGTTGTTGTCATCATTGTTGTTGTTGTCATCATTGTTGTTGTTGCCGTTGTCATCATTGTTGTTGTCATCATTGTTGTTGTCGCCGTTGTCATCATTGTTGTTGTTGTTATCATTGTTGTTGTTGTCATCATTGTTGTTGTCATCATCGTTGTTGTTGTTGTTGTCGCCGGCCTAGACGGAGCGAGAGGGAGCGACGGATCCGCCCGCCGAGGTGGCGCTGCTCACGATCGGACGTCTCCCAGCCCGGCAGCAGCAGGCGGAGGCACGCATCGGAGTTCTGGAGCAGATGCTGCATGGTGAGTGAATTAGAGAGTGAATAAGAGAGTGAGTTAGAGAGTGAATGAATTATAGAGTGAGTTAGAGAGTGAGTTAGAGAGTGAGTGAATTATAGAGTGAATGAGAGAGCGAGTGAGAGAGTGAATGATAGAGTGAGTTAGAGAGTGAATTAGAGAGTGAATAAGAGAGTGAGTTAGAGAGTGAATGAATTATAGAGTGAGTTAGAGAGTGAGTTAGAGAGTGAGTGAATTATAGAGTGAGTTAGAGAGTGAGTTAGAGAGTGAGTTAGAGAGTGAGTTAGAGAGTGAGTTAGAGAGTGAGTTAGAGAGTGAGTTAGAGAGTGAGTTAGAGAGTGAGTTAGAGAATGAGTTAGAGACTGAGTTAGAGAGTGAGTTAGAGAGTGAGTTAGAGAGTGAGTGAGAGAGTGAATTAGAGAGTGAGTTAGAGAGTGAGTTAGAGAGTGAGTGAATTATAGAGTGAGTTAGAGAGTGAGTTAGAGAGTGAGTTAGAGAGTGAATAAATTATAAAGTGAATTAGAGAGTGAGTTAGAGAGTGAGTTAGAGAGTGAGTTAGAGAGTGAATTAGAGAGTGAATGAGAGAGTGAGTTAGAGAGTGAGCTAGAGAGTGAATTAGAGAGTGAGTTAGAGAGTGAGTTAGAGAGTGAGTTAGAGAGTGAGTTAGAGAGTGAATTAGAGAGTGAGTTAGAGAGTGAGTTAGAGAGTGAGTTAGAGAGTGAGTTAGAGAATGAGTTAGAGACTGAGTTAGAGAGTGAGTTAGAGAGTGAGTTAGAGAGTGAGTGAGAGAGTGGGTTAGAGAGTGAGTTAGAGAGTGAGTTAGAGAGTGAGTTAGAGAGTGAGTGAGAGAGTGGGTTAGAGAGTGAGTTAGAGAGTGAGTTAGAGAGTGAGTTAGAGAGTGAGTTAGAGAGTGAGTTAGAGAGTGAATAAATTATAAAGTGAGTTAGAGAGTGAGTTAGAGAGTGAGTTAGAGAGTGAGTTAGAGAGTGAGTTAGAGAGTGAATTAGAGAGTGAGTTAGAGAGTGAGTTAGAGAGTGAGTTAGAGAGTGAGTTAGAGAGTGAGTTAGAGAATGAGTTAGAGACTGAGTTAGAGAGTGAGTTAGAGAGTGAGTTAGAGAGTGAGTGAGAGAGTGAATTAGAGAGTGAGTTAGAGAGTGAGTTAGAGAGTGAGTGAATTATAGAGTGAGTTATAGAGTGAGTTAGAGAGTGAATAAATTATAAAGTGAGTTAGAGAGTGAGTTAGAGAGTGAGTTAGAGAGTGAGTTAGAGAGTGAATTAGAGAGTGAGTTAGAGAGTGAGTTAGAGAGTGAGTTAGAGAGTGAGTTAGAGAATGAGTTAGAGACTGAGTTAGAGAGTGAGTTAGAGAGTGAGTTAGAGAGTGAGTGAGAGAGTGGGTTAGAGAGTGAGTTAGAGAGTGAGTTAGAGAGTGAGTTAGAGAGTGAGTTAGAAAGTGAGTTAGAGAGTGAGTTAGAGAGTGAGTGAGAGAGTGTGTTAGAGAGTGAGTTAGAGAGTGAGTTAGAGAGTGAGTGAGAGAGTGTGTTAGAGAGTGAGTGAGAGAGTGTGTTAGAGAGTGAGTTAGAGAGTGGGTTAGAGAGTGAGTTAGAGAGTGAGTTAGAGAGTGAGTTAGAGAGTGAGTTAGAGAGTGGGTTAGAGAGTGAGTTAGAGAGTGAGTTAGAGAGTGAGTTAGAGAGTGAGTTAGAGACTGAGTTAGAGAGTGAGTTAGAGAGTGAGTGAGAGAGTGTGTTAGAGAGTGAGTTCACTTGCTTGCGTGCTTGCTTGCTTACGACCGTGCAAATCTTTCGGTCGTTTTTTAACCCACTTCCCGTGATCCAATCGAGCTGACATTTTGCACACAGACTCGTTGTGTGTGACAATTTATTTTCGTGAAAATTTTTACACTTTTTAGGTAAAAATAAATAATATTGAATTACCAATTGCTTAATGGTGGCGGGCAATCATCTGACCCATAGGTGGCAGCCATCTCAAGCCAGAGGACGAGAGGACTCTAGCCGCCACGCATATAAAGGATTTATAGTGAAAAACTTTGTTTTTACGGGTTAATTTTTTTTCTATACCCACGTGACTTTACCGAAAGAACCAAGAAGATGAATCCCTGCGGTCACGAAAGCTTCAAATCGAGATTGAGTTTTACCTTTGTCAAATTAAGAAGTGAATTTGAAACTTGAGCCCCCACCAACCCCTCCTCCATCCATCTCGTTTCAGAACCCCGCTCGGAGCTGACTCATCTAGTTGCGGAGGTGGCACGGCTGCGTCAGCGCGTGGAGCGCGACTCCACGAGCCGATCCCAGGTAGCCCCCCGCCGCCACCACCACCGCCGTGGCCCCCCTCAAACCACCCCCCCCCCTTTGCCTTGAACCCCCACCACCATTGGCCCCCCAATCACCCCCGCAAGCATGAACCATCGTCACGCAAACTCCGGTCGTCGCAGCAGCGGCAGATTTTGGCTTTCAGATGCGATGTGCACTACACTATACACTATACTATACACTACACTATACACTATACTATACACTACACTATACACTACACTACTATACACTACACTACTATACACTACTATACACTACACTATACACTACACTACTATACACTACACTATACACTACACAATACACTACACTACTATACACTACTATACACTACACTATACACTACACTACTATACACTACACTATACACTACACTATACACTACATTATAGACTACACTACTATACACTACACTATACACTACTATGCACTACACTATACACTACACTATACACTACACTATACACTACACTACACTATACACTACACTATACACTACACTATACACTATACTATACACGACACTATACACTACACTACTATACACTACACTACTATACACTACTATACACTACACTATACACTACACTACTATACACTACACTATACACTACACAATACACTACACTACTATACACTACTATACACTACACTATACACTACACTACTATACTCTACACTATACACTACACTATACACTACATTATAGACTACACTACTATACACTACACTATACACTACTATACACTACACTATACACTACACTATACACTACACTATACACTACACTACACTATACACTACACTATACACTACACTATACACTACACTATACACTACTATACACTACACTATACACTACTATACACTACTATACACTACACTATACACTACACTATACACTACACTACTATACACTACACTATACACTACACTACGCACTACACTATACACTACACTATACACTACACTACTATACACTACACTATACACTACACTACACACCACACTATACACTACACTACTATACAATACACTATACACTACACTACACACTACACTATACACTACACTATACACTACACTACTATACACTACACTACTATACACTACACTACACACTACACTATACACTACACTACTATACACTACACTACACACTACACTATACACTACACTATACACTACACTACTATACACTACACTATACACTACACTATACACTACACTACTATACACTACACTATACACTACACTATACACTACACTATACACTACACTACACACTACACTACACACTATACACTACACACTACACTACACTATACACTACAATACTATACACCACACTATACACTACTATACACCACACTATACACTACACTATACACTACACTATACACTAATACACTACACTATACACTACACTACACACTAGTGCTGTACTAGTGACGAATTGGCCACGTTCTCTTTACGCGACAACCCTCACTAGTTCGCCGTGTCAGCTGGTGGCGGCTACTAACGACACATTTTACAAACTCACGCGATCCAACCCCAACAACAAACCCCTCAATCATGGATGACATTGATCGCTGCTACTGTAGTGACATAAGAAGGGAGGGGTTGCTAGGAGCTGTGGGACCCTTGGCGCCAGACGTTGGGTTCCCAGGCGAGTCAGACGCTTAAGCCCCTTGGTGCCACCAACAGGGGGGGCTGTGTGTGCTCTGTGGGATATCTGGGGGCGCACACAACCCCACCCCTCGTTGGGGACGAGGCATAAAAGGGCAGCGCCCTGGCCGATCGAGGCCAGTCGTAGCTCAAGACCCAAGACCCAAGACCAGCCATCTGAGGACCCTGGGATGCTGTGAGGGCCAGTGGTGGGACTCTGGAACTCCCGGCTCTACGTCCTTGTGAGGGCGAGTTCCAGAGCGTAGCCAGAGTAGAGTATCTAGGCTGTGTACCTAGGCTGTGTACCTAAGCGGTAACAGAGTATCTGGACTGTTGGAGAGTTGGACTGTTGGAGAGTTGGAGTGTTGGAGTGCTGTTTGATTGTAATAAAGAAGTTACCTCTACAAGTGTCTCCGGAACCCGTTACACTACCACCACCACCACGTGTTGAAGAGCCTGAAACCCCTCTCTGTTCCGTGCGTAGGATGAGTCCGGGCTCCGGGAACTGTCAAGGGAGGTGGCTCGACTCGTGGACGAAGGAGATGCCACTCGCAAGGACATTCAGGTGTTCACTATGAACAACACTTTGTCCTGCTGCGGAGGGAGCTGGTAGGAACACGTTGGGTTGCTCGGTCAATGGCCTGCAAGGTCAACGGCGGCGTGGTGTTTTCCGCAAATATGCCCGACTGTGAGGGCGGGCACAAGCCGGCGTGAGTAGGTTAAACGTTGAGTTTTATAAGGGCACCACGGGGTGACCAGCCCCTCCCCACCCAGCCCCACCCCTCTCACCCCCCACCCAGCCCCACGACCTCCTGCACACCAGGAGAGGTAGTTAACATCTCCGAGCCACCGTGATGATGATGATGAGAGAGAGAGACACGCAAACTCCAAATATACAGCAGCAGGCATCGTCAGGGTCGGGATTGAACCCACGACCTCCTGTGTACCAGGCGAAGTAGTTAACATCTCCTAGCCACCGTGATGATGATGATGAGAGAGAGAGACACGCAAACTCCAAATATACAGCAGCAGGCGTCAGGGTCGGAATTGAACCCACGACCTCCTGTACACCAGGCGAGGTAGTCAACATCTCCGAGCCACCGTGATGATGATGATGAGAGAGACACACACAAACTCCAAATATACAGCAGCAGCAGGCGTCAGGGTCGGAATTGAACCCACGACCTCCTGTACACCAGGCGAGGTAGTTAACATCTCCGAGCCACCGTGATGATGATGATGATAGAGAGAGACACGCAAACTCCGAATATACAGCAGCAGGCGTCAGAGTCGGAATTGAACCCACGACCTCCTGTACACCAGGTGAGGTAGTCAACATCTCCTAGCCACCGTGTGTGCAGCTAACCGCTGCACTACGAACCCGGCGACCCGAGTTCAATTCTCGCTCCAAGACCAACTCCGGTGGCGATTATTTGAACCGGTCCCGGGGCCTCCCCTAGGTCGACTCAGCCTCCAATGAGTACCCCGGTGCGGTGTGTAAACATCGCTACTGGGGGAGACAAAGGCGGCTGGGCGTGATTGTTGGCCACACACCCCCCTCGTGTGCCGTGCCGCTACTCGCTCTGAGCACTTGCCTCAAAAGCCCATTGAAGGCTACACGGGGGATCTTTGCCTGTGTCGTGTGCGCCGACTTGCAGAGCCTGGCGGAGTCTCTGGAGCAGCTGCAGGAGACGAAAGCCGACAGGGTCAAAGTCGACACGGACATCGAAGTGGTAAGCACGCGGCTTGCGTGTTCACCCGGTCAAAAATCACCTCCCCCCCCCAAACCCACTACCACTACCATCACCACGTCGCCTACGCAGACTGTGAGCGCTGTTCGTGAGGCCGCACCAGGGTCGCAAACGGGTACCCGTTTGCGACCCTGGTGCGGCCGGGTACGGGTACGGGTAGGCCGTGAGTCACTGGTGAGTAACCGTTTGTCACTCATTTCCCAACGTCTTGTCTCTTCTCACAATTCAAGTTCCTAGAATCAACCCACCCGCGCCTGCAACATGGCTTCATCCCAGAGGTCGCAATCGGGTACCCGATACCCGTACCCTACACGATACCCGGCTGGGTAAGGGTAGCCGGGTATTGGGTAGGGTGCGGGTAGCCGTTTGCGACCCTGGTTCGCCCGGGTACGGGTTCGGGTAGGCCGTGAGTCACCGGTGAGTAACCGTTTGTCACTCATTTCGGATAGGGTACGGGTACGGGTAGCGTACGGCTACCCATACCCGGCCGGGTACGGGTACGGGTACTCGTTTGCGACCCTGGTACGGCCGGGTACGGGTACGGGTAGGCCGTGAGTCACTGGTGAGTAACCGTTTGTCACTCATTTCGGGTATGGATACGGGTAAGGAATCAAAACCCGTTTGCGACCTCTGTGTGTGGGGGGGTGGCGGCGGCGGTTGGATCTTTGCCATTGCAGAAGGCGGACAAGCACGCGCTGGACGGTAAGGTGAGCTGCTCGCTCTTCTCGGAGGCGACGGGGCGCCTCCACGCGATGATGGACGGCCTCCTGCAGCGAGTGAGCGGCCAGGAGGGCGACTGGCAGCGGCAGACCCAGATGCTCGTGGCCCGCATGGACAGCAAGGTGGGAGGACGAACGACCACACAAACCATCCCCACCCACCCCCATGCGCACAACAGCAACAACTGCTATTCGCGGTGACGTCACCACGACGCTTGTGCCGGGCCATGTGCACCTTGAGGCTACCACGTGAAGTGTCGAACGCCCGCCGGCAGGAGGTCACGAACAACCACACAAACCACCCCCCCACCCCCACGCGCACAACAACAACAACCGCCATTCGCTACTAAGTGGCGGTGTACGTCACCACGACGCTTGTGCCAGGCCATGTGCACCTTAAGGCTGCCACGTGAAGTGTCGAACACCCGCTGGCAGGAGGTCACGAACGACCCCACAAACCACTGCCCCCCCACCCCCACGCGCACAACAACAACAACAACGACAACAACTGCCATTCGCGGTGACGTCACCACGACGCTTGTGCCAGGCCATGTGCACCTTGAGGCTGCCACGTGAAGTGTCGAACGCCTGCTGGCAGGAGGTCACGAACGACCCCACAAACCACTGCCCCCCCACCCCCATGCGCACAACAACAACAACGACAACCGCCATTCACGGTGACGTCACCACGACGCTTGTGCCAGGCCATGTGCACCTTGAGGCTATCACGTGAAGTGTCGAACGCCCGCTGGCAGGAGGTCACGAACGACCTCACAAACCACCCCCAACCCCATGCGCACAACAACAATAACGACAACCGCCATTCGACACTGAGTGGCGGTGACGTCACCACGACGCTTGTGCCAGGCCATGTGCACCTTGAGGCTGCCACGTGAAGTGTCGAACGCCCGCTGGCAGGAGGTAATTTCGATCGGATCATTGGGGTTTATTCGTAAAAAAGTGGCATTTTGCCACCCCCCTCCCCCACTGCCACTGTGTAGTTGTATATTACTACGTGCCAGGGACTCTATGAGATGATAGAACAATAGTCTGAGTCCATAATTGGCAATAAGTAACGGCAAAGCAGTTATAAGTGACTCACATAATTGTGCGCAGTTGCGTGTAGAGTCCTCACGACTTCCCTGAAGGCATCAGCAGCTGCAGCGAGCGCGATGCCGATCACACAACGCGGTTCGAATTCAACCCTCGATCGGTGGCTGCGTCATCGCCGCACACGCGTCGAATAACAAGCAAGGGACAACTCTTTAAATTTCGATTCAAAGCTTTCGTGACTGCAGGGATTCATCTTCTTGGTTCTTTCAGAATGGAAATAATAAAATGATAAAAATAAAACATAATAAACATAATTCTCACGACGTTTCAGAGTCATTCAGACGCTGTCTTCTCGACAGACCTGTTCTTCACCTGAGGACGGCTGCTTGCGTTGTGGCCGAAACGTCGTGATAATTATTTTATAATGCTTTATTTTTATTATTTTATTATTTCCCTTCTACGTGACTTTACCGAAAGAACTAAGAAGAAGATTACAACTATTTTTTTTATACTTTACCAGGTAAGGTCCCACTGAGCTCCGTGTAGCTCTTTTTCAGAAGCGACCCGGCCACAAATGATGGCCCAACGAAGTGGCGGAAGTTTAGAGCGGCCAAATAACTCCGGAGGACCCGGAGAAAAATCCACGCGACCATGGAGAGAGAGACACGCAAACTCCAAATATACAGCAGCAGGCATCGTCAGGGTCGGTATCGAACCCACGACCTCCTGCATACCAGGCGAGGTAGTCAACATCTCCTAGCCACCGTGATGATGATGAGAGAGAGAGAGACACGTAAACTCTAAATATACAGCAGCAGGCGTCAGGGTCGGTATCGAACCCACGACCTCCTGTGCACCAGGCGAGGTAGTCAACATCTCCTAGCCACCGTGATGATGATGAGAGAGAGAGACACGCAAACTCCAAATACACAGCAGCAGGCGTCAGGGTCGGGATCAAACCTCCTGTACACCAGGCGAGGTATTTAACATCTCGCTGGACCCGCTCAATGATTTGACGGATGAGCGAACAATTGAACGAGTGAACTAACAGATGAATGAGTGAACTAGCGATTGAACGAGTGAACTAACAGATGAATGAGTGAACTCACAGACGAACGAGTGAACTAACGGAAGAACGAGTGAACTAACGGAAGAACGAGTGAACTAACGGGCGAACGAGTGAACTAACGGACGAACGGGTGAACTAACGGACGAACGAGTGAACTAACGGACGAACGGGTGAACTAACGGGCGAACACGACGTCCCTGCCGCAGCTGGACCGCATGGAGCTGGACCCGCTGAGACGGGAGCTGGAGGCGCGCTGGCGGGCCGTCAAACGCCGCCTGCAGGACGGCGAGCAGATACAAGCGGACGACGCCGCCGGCTTCCGCAGGTCGGCTGCCCCCCCCCCATCCCTCTCTCTCCCCCCTCCCCCTCTCGGTGTCAGCGGGGTGGGAACGGCAGTGGGGCTGAGACAGAGGTCACAAACGGGTTTTGATTCCTTACCCGTACACGTACCCGGCCGCACCAGGTTCGCAAATGGGTACCCGTACCCGGCCGGATACGGGTACCCGTTCCCTACCCGAAATGAGTGACAAACGGTTACTCACCAGTGACTCACGGCCTACCCGTACCCGGCCGCACCAGGGTCGCAAACGGGTACCCGTACCCGTACCTGGCCGGGTACGGGTAGCCGGGTATCGGGTAGGGTACGGGTATCGGGTACTCGGTTGCGACCTCTGGGCTGAGATGAGACTCAGCGCTGGACTGGCACGGACGGCGATAGTCTGCTGCTGCTCGCTGACTTGGGGGCGTTGCGTGCGAAGCGACTGAACGAAACCATCTTCTTGGTTCTTTCGGTAAAGTCACGTAGAATGGAAATAATAAAATAGTAAAAATAAAACATAATAAAATAATTCTCACGACGTTTCGGCCACAACGCAAGCAGCCGTCCTCAGGTGAAGAACAGGTCTGTCGGAAAGACAGCGTCTGAATGAAACACCACCAAGCTTGGCAGCGTATATTTAAGCTGGGTTGGAGGGGCGAAGAGCGCCTTGACAAATAATTTGCATATCAAGAGGAATTTCGCATATTTATGGGAAATGCAGATATGGGATTAGTACTACTTGTGGAATGCGTAGGAGGTGGGCGGGGGGTTTCAAAGTCATATTTTTCGATTGAAAGCTTTCGTGACTGCAGGGATTCATCTTCTTGGCACTTATCGGTAAAGTCACGTAGAAGGGAAGTAATAAAAGAATAAAAATAAAACATAAAATAATTCTCACGACGTTTCGGCTACAACGCAAGCAGCCGTCCTCAGGTGAAGACTCCCCGACAGACCTGTTCTCCACCTGAGGACGGCTGCTTGCGTTGTGGCCGAAACGTCGTGAGAATTATTTTATTATGTTTTAATATTTTATTACTTCCCTTCTACGTGACTTTACCGAAAGAACCAGGAAGATGAGTCATATTTTTGTTCTACTTGCAGGCAACTGATTGCGCGTTTCCACTGCATCTCGTGTGACCGTCCCCTGGACCTACCCGTGCCCGCCCCGTGAGTTTTGAACATTGAATCCGTTCGGCGCGTTTATCCGCGATGGGTAAAAGAGAAATGACTGGAGCCTTCATCTTCTTATATTGCCTTAATGTCATTCATAGAACGCCTTTGCCAAGGCGCTTTACAGCGATTATAAAATTGTACATAGCGTGGTAATATTTCGATTTAAAGCTTTCGTGACTGCAGGGATTCATCTTCTTGGTTCTTTCGGTAAAGTCACGTAGAAGGGAAGTAATAAAATAATAAAAATAAAACATCACAAAATAATTCTCACGACGTTTCGGCTACAACGCAAGCAGTAGCCGAAACGTCGTGAGAATGATTTTATTTTATTATGTTTTATTTTTATTGTTTTATTACTTCCCTTCTACGTGACTTTACCGACAGAACCAAGAAGATGAGCGTGGTAATCATTTCGAAATGAAAAAATGGGTTAGGGACCGTCCATAAATGACGTCACGCACCTAGGGGGGAGGGGGGGGGTCAGACATTTGTGACGATGTGTGACGAGGGGGGGGTGAGAAATGTGACGTCACATCAAAATGCGCAGCTTTAAATAAATATAGAATTGTTATAACACTAATTGTTACAACACTCTTACAACATCAGAGTGCAGAGGCCACATTAAATACGCACTACAATGACGATAGCTTAAAGCGATTTGAAGCATTTTTATTTTCAAAATGGAAATATGGTTTTGGGGGGTGGGGGGCAGAGCTTTGTTACGTCATATTTTAGGGGAGGCGGGTCTGACTTTTTGTGACGCCGTGTGACGAGGGGGGGGGGGGTCAAAAATCCTCCAAAATCGCGTGACGTCATTTATGGACGGCCCCTTATTCTAAGTGGTGGTGCTTAAGATTCTGAAAAGGGTGAATCCCATTCTTAATTTTTTTCCCATCATTTTGATATCGGCTAAAGAATGGTCCCTTTCCACGTGGTTTATCCCTGTCGTGCAAACCGCATCACACATCCATTCAAATCCCAGAGCTCTCTATCTCACTCAGAGCTCAAGGGTCCAGACCTTATATTAGACACTGTTGGGTATGGCCTGAGATAGCAAGACCCACTCACCCACGCACTCACTCACCCACTCACTCACTCACCCATTCACCCACTCACCCACTCACTCGCCCACTCACCCACGCACCCACTCACCCACTCACTCACTCACTCACCCACCCACTCACCCACTCACTAACTCACCCATTCACTCACTCACTCACTCACCCACCCACCCACTCACCCACTCACCCACCCACTCACTCACTCACCCACTCACCCACTCACTCACTCACCCACCCACCCACCCACTCACTCACCCACCCACCCACCCACTCACCCACTCACTCACTCACCCATTCACTCACCCGCTCACCCGCTCACCCGTTCACTCACCCACTCACTCACTCACTCACCCACCCACTCACTCAGTCACCCACTCACTCACTCACCCATTCACTCACCCATTCACTCACTCACTCACTCAGTCACCCACCCACCCACCCACGTATTAACAAGCTCGCTCACCCACCCACATATTCACACGCTCCACCACTCACTCCCACACTCACTCACCCACCCACGTATTCACATGCTCCCCCACTCCCACACTCACTCACCCACTCACCCACCCACTCACTCATTCACTCACCCACTCACTCACTCACTCACCCACTCACCCACTCACTCCCTCACTCACCCACCCACTCACTCGCTCACTCACTTACCCACTAACTCAATCACCCATTCACTCACTCACTCACTCACCCACTCCCACACTCACTCACCCACTCACCCACCCACTCACTCACTCACCCACTCACTCACTCACCCACTCACCCACTCACTCACTCACTCACCCACCCACTCACTCGCTCACTCACTTACCCACTAACTCAATCACCCATTCACTCACTCACTCACCCACTCACCCACTCACTCACTCGCTCACTCACTTACCCACTAACTCAATCACCCATTCACTCACTCACTCACTCACCCACTCACCCACCCACTCACTTACTCACCCACTCACTCACCCACTCACTCACTCACCCACCCACCCACTCACCACCCACTCACCCACTCACCCACTCACTCACCCACCCACTCACTCACCCACCCACACACTCACTCACCCACTCACTCACCCACTCACTCACTCACCCACTCACTCACCCATTCACTCACCCACTCACCCATTCACTCACCCGCTCACCCACTCACCCACTCACTCACCCACCCACTCACTCACTCACTCACCCACCCACTCACCCATTCACTCACCCACTCACTCACTCACCCACCCACTCACTCACCCACTCACTCACTCACCCATTCACTCACCCACTCAATCACCCACTCACTCACCCACTCACTCACTCACCCACTCACTCACCCACCCACCCACTCACCCACTCACTCACCCACTCACTCACTCACTCACCCACCCACCCACTCACCCACCCACTCACCCACTCACCCACTCACTCACTCACCCACTCACTCACTCACTCCCCCACTCACTCACCCACTCACCCACACCACAGAACGTGACAATGTGAGCGTTACAGCGTTCCCGCTAGAAAGCCCCACGACTTTGAGAAGACCAACGTTCGAAACTGAAACCGTCACATGCGCACACGCGTAACACACACAAATGCTCTCTCGCTGCACACCGCACTGCCCAGCTCGCGTTTAACATTCGCCACGTGCGTTTCGTCTCTTTCCTTTTTGCCAGGCGTCTGATCACCGTTGCAGTGGCGACATCAACGCAGAAGAACTCCCAGGGGCTTGCCAGGTGCTTATTCTTTCAGCGCTGGGGATGCCGCTTATCCAGCGGCGTGGAGAGGTTGGCCAATGGATGGTTTGGCTTAAATTGTTTTCCCCCTGTCGCTGTCTCGACGACTGGAATGTAAAAGTAAAAAAAAATGTTTTCAGCTGCAGCCGCAACGAATCACTCGCTCACTCGCTTACTCAGTGGTGGAGCCAGGATCTTCAGGTGTTTGGGGGGCGGGGGGGGTAACCCCTCCAGCAATGAAAAATGATAGAGGAGTTTCGATTTAAAGCTTTCGTGACTGCAGGGATTCATCTTGTTGGTTCTTTCGGTAAAGTCACGTAAAAGGCAGACAGACAGAGACAGACAGAGAGACAGACGGACAGAGAGACAGACAGACGGACAGAGAGACAAAGAGACAGACAGAGAGACAGACAGAGAGACAGAGAGGCAGACAGAGAGACAGACGGACAGAGACACAGACAGACAGACGGACAGAGAGACAGACAGACAGATGGACAGACGAGACACAGACACAGACAGAGAGACAGAAAGAGACAGAGAGACAGACAGAGAGACAGACAGAGAGACAGACGGACAGAGACACAGACAAACAGACGGACAGAGAGACAGACAGACAGACAGACGGACAGACGGACAGACGAGACACAGACAGACAGACAGATAGACGGACAGAGAGACAGACAGACAGACGGACAGACGAGACACAGACACAGACAGAGAGACAGACAGAGACAGAGAGACAGACAGAGAGACAGACAGAGAGACAGACGGACAGAGAGACAAAGAGACAGACAGAGAGACAGACAGAGAGACAGAGAGGCAGACAGAGAGACAGACGGACAGAGACACAGACAGACAGACGGACAGAGAGACAGACAGAGACAGAGAGACAGACAGATAGACAGACAGAGAGACAGACGGACAGAGACACAGACAGACAGACGGACAGAGAGACAGACAGACGGACAGACGAGACACAGACAGACAGACAGACAGAGAGACAGACAGACAGAGGGACAGACGGACAGAGAGACAGACAGAGACAGACAGAGACAGACAGAGAGACAGACGGACAGAGAGACAAACAGACATACAGAGAGAGAGATGGACAGAGAGACAGAGAGACGGACAGAGACAGAGAGACAGACAGAGACAGAGAGACAGATAGAAAGAGAAACAGACAGAGACACGGACAGACAGAGAGACGGAGACAGAGAGACAGACAGAGAGACAGACGAGACACAGACAGACAGACACACAGACACACACACAGACACACACACAGACACACACACAGACAGAGACAGACAGACAGACAGAGACACAGACAGACAGACAGACGGACAGACGAGACACAGACACACAGACACACAGACACACAGACAGACACACACACACACAGAGACAGACACACACACAGACAGACACACACACACACAGAGACACACACGCAGACACACACACACCCAGACAGACAGACACACACACAGAGAGACACACACACAGACACAGAGACAAACACAGAGAGACGCTTGTGAACAACGCTGTTCCCTCGCCCTGGCCGCTGCGTCAGCGTGCGGCTCCCGGCGGCTCCGACGTCGCTGTCCACACGGCCCTCGCTGAGGCCGTGCGGTGGTGTCCACACGATCCACGCGGTCCACTCGACGGGCGGCAAGCGTGTGGCACGCGTACCACCCCTCGGCCAGATGGTCCGTGCCGGCGAGGTGCCCGGCGTTCCAGCCTCCCGCACGGTCAGTGCCGAACCACTTTTTTTTTCTTTCTTCTAGATTTGAAGCTTTCGTGACTGCAGCAAGGATTCATATGCTTAGGTTTTTTTTCGGTAAAGTCACGTGGGTAAAAAATGTTTAATTAATAAAAGTAAGCTAAAATAAATAACAAGTAAAACCCTTAAAAACAAAGTTTTTCACTATAAATCCTTTATATGCGTGGCATCGGGGCGGCTAGAGTCCTCTCGTCCTCTGGCTTGAGATGGCTGCCACCTATGGTAATTAAATAATAATAAAAATTTCCCCTAATAAACAGTGTCAAATTTTGGAATTTTTTTTCACGAAAATGCATTGTCACGCACAACGAGTCTGTGTGACATCTTTCGACAGTATACTCTTAGTTCTTTCGGTAAAGTCACGTAGGTAAAAAATGAAATTAAAATTAATAAAAACGAATAAAAACAATAAAATCACGTCGTTTCGGAGGCAACACAAGCTTCCGTCTTCAGGTGAAACTGTCACAGCAAAATATCTGTATCAAGAAGCTTCAAATCTAGAATCTTTCGACAGCTGAGATTTGATGTTGGCACCATGTGACCCTCCCCCCCCTCCCTCCCGTTGCTAATCTGGAGCACACGTGTGCGCTCATGGTCCATGCGCTGCAGAAGGAGATCCACATTCTGGGACTGGACGGACATATCTACAGGGGGAGACTGGAGCGGTCGTCGTTCCTGCCGCCCATCCAGAGCCCGGAAGGTAAAGCTCACACAAACTCACTTTCAAGCGTTTTGCGACCGAGGCCGAACGCAGCTGTGCGCGAGCCAGCTCTGTCCCGTTGGCCGCTCCTGTCCTTCCGCCTATAACACGGGGTGCGTCAAAACTCCAGCGGAGATCGAGCCATATTTTTCTAAACTTTTAGGGCGAAGCAGAGGTCGCACACGGGTTTTGATTCCTTACCCGTACCCGGCCGCACCAGGGTCGCAAACGGGTACCCGTACCCGTACCCTACCCGATACCCGGCTACCTGTACCCGGCCGGGTATCGGGACGGGTACGGGTATCGGGTACCTGATTGCGACCTCTGGGATGAAGCCATGTTGCAGGCGTGGGTGGGTTGATTCTAGGAACTTGAATTGTGAGAAGAGACAAGACGTTGGGAAATGAGTGACAAACGGTGACTCACCAGTGAACTCAACAACATTAAACCACCCTTCTTGGTTCTTTCGGTAAAGTCACGTAGAAGGGAAATAATACAATGATAAAAATAAAACATAATAAAATAATTCTTGTGAGAATTATTTTATTATGTTTTATTTTTTTGATTATTATTTTATTATTTCCCTTCTATGTGATGACAAACGGTGACTCACCAGTGACTCACGGATTACCCGTACCCGTACCCGGCCGCACCAGGGTCGCAAACGGATACCCTTACCCGGCTGGGTACGGGTAGCCGGGTATCGGGTAGGGTACGGGTATTGGGTACCTGGTTGCGACCTCTGGGGCGAAGTTGCATTGCCGTTGGGAACCGGCGACGTTGATCAAAGGGTTAATGCATTGGGGCTCTGCGTGTCCGTGTGTAACGCGGGGTCACGGAAACTTTCTTAGACTTGATCCGAGAAAAACGGAACTCTGATAATTGTTTTTTTTACCCTTTAATCTGGCAACAAAACTGACACCTTTTTTTACGAGGAGTCATGTTTGCATAGACCACAATACCGCCAAAAGGCGTCATCTGGTCCAACACCATGTGAGACTAGGCTCTAAGGAAAGCTGTCTCGGGTGTGGACCAATCAACTTCAAGGACAGTGCATACATTTTCAGAGTTGTGTTTTTTGTTTGTATTATGACTGCGTCAATGCAAACATGACTCCTCGTTAAAAAAGGTGTCAGTTTTGTTGCCAGATAGAAGGGTAAAAAAACAATTATCATAATAATAGTTTTTTCAAGGCAAATGCAAGTTTAATTATAATAATAGCGTGTTTGTTTGTATGTTCACCACAAGGACTGGGTGTGGTAAATGCAGCAGTACTCGAATCCCTACAAAAGGTTTCTATTTGGCGTTTGAACATCTTAGGGGTTGTCCATAAATGACGTCACGCACCTAGGGGGGGGGGGCGGGGTCAGACATTTGTGACGATGTGTGACGAGGGGGGGGGGGGAAGGTGTTGGAGAAATGTGACGTCACATTAAAATGCACAACTTTAAATAAATATAGACAACACGTTCTACTTACACCATTGGAACTTCATTTGCCAGTAAAAAATATGATAATTGTTTTTTTACCCTTCTATCTGGCAACAAAACTGACACCTTTTTTTTACAAGGAGTCATGTTTGTATAGACCACAAAACCTGCAGTCATAATGCAAACAAAAAACACAACTCTGATAGTGAATGTGCACTGTCCTTGAAGTTGATTGGTCCACACCCGAGACAGCTTTCCTTAGAACCCATGTGAGACTAGGCTCTAAGGAAAGCTGTCTCTGGTGTGGACCAATCAACTTCAAGGACAGTGCATATATTATCAGAGTTATGTTTTTTGTTTGCATTATGACCGCAGGTATTGTGGTCTATGCAAATGTAGTGGTGGTATTGACGTGCGCCGGCAGTGATGGATCACGGGGCGCGGGGTTGGGCACGCGGTGTGGGCGTGGCATGGACGCGCGCGCCGGTGGTGAGGCGCGCTCACACAAGCTGGGAAAAGAGGATCGTAGCGAGTGCGCAGTGATTGGTCAGATAAGTGAGTACTCTCAGCGACGTCCGCAGGAGGGGTATAAAGGGGGACGCGCGAGAGCACTCGTGGTTGAGTGTTAACCAGTTGAAGACCGAAGACGGGGTGGAGGAGGTAGGGGCCCTGTGTGGCTCGGAGCCGAGACTGGGGGGACCGTAGTCCGACGCCCGTGTGGGTCGGGACGGTGGTACCCAGAGCCGAGACGGGCACCCCGGCTGGGTGTGTCCCGGAAGGCTACAGGGCGTAAGAGCCCGTGTCAGTACAGCTAAGTGGGTGTTGGTCACCCGTGTAGCTGAGTGGGTGTTGGTCACCCGTGTAGCTGAGTGGGTGTCCGTCACCCGTGTAGCTAAGTGGGTGTTGGTCACCCGTGTAACGAAGTCGTAGCTGAGTGGGTGTCCGTCACCCGTGTAGCTAAGTGGGTGTTGGTCACCCGTGTAACGAAGTCGTAGCTGAGTGGGTGTCCGTCACCCGTGTAGCTAAGTGGGTGTTGGTCACCCGTGTAACGAAGTAGGGTGTTAGTCATCCGTGTAACTACAAGTTGGTGAAAATAAAGAGTGTGCTACCCGTGAAGTCGTCTCCTGCCGAGTTACTACTTTACAACTGGCGTCAGAAGTAAACCTGTCTTCAAGGAGAATGGACACAAGGAAGACTTCTCGTTCCTACGTGCAAGACCGGGGAGACGACGACGTACCGGTGACACCACCCTCGGGAGGAGAGGACGAGGAGTTGCCGCCGATGCAGCACTTCGCGGAAATGGCCGATGCTCCGCCCGCCTCCGACACCAGCCTGCAGGACGCACACTCCCGCCTGGCGGAGTTGCTGCTCGCCGCCGCGGCGATCTTGGCAGAGATCTCCGTTCCAGCGGCCGGTGGAACGCCTGCGGGGTTGGAAGAGGCGGCGCGGCTGGAGTGTTCCCGCCATAAGGCGTTTCGCGCCAAAAGTTTGGGAGTTGGCGCCATTTTTGAGGGTCCGCCTCCGGTTGGCGGGAAACGCGGACACCACGTGGCCAGAGGTCTCCACACAGCGCAGCCCGCGTCATCGGCGAGCGCCGGAGCTCTCCATTTTGCGCCTGCAGAGGGAGCCGACATTTTCTACAACCACAGCAGCGCGCGGAAAAATCGTTCCAACGACGACGACGACGATCGAGTTCTCCAGCAACGATTGCCCGCGCTGTCGGTGTTCAAGGCGGACGGGGGCGACTGGGGAGCCTTCCAGCGACGGTTCATCGCGCATCAAGAAATGTCGGGGTGGTCCGACACCACGGCCCTGCGCGCGCTGCCAGCGATGCTCGACGACGACGCGCTTGCGGCCTTCACGTCTGCCCCGAGGTCGTCCCGCTCAACGCTCCAGGCCGCGCTGCACCTGTTGGCCAAGGTGTTCGGGCCGCCCTCGACCTGTCGCCACCAGTTCTACGATCGGCGGAAGGTGGTTGGAGAAACAACGCTCGCCTATCGCACGGCGCTGCTCGCCCTGGCGGATTCAGCTTTTCCCCGCATGGACAAGGAGGGGAAGGACGCCATGGTGACGGAGCAGCTGCTGGCGCTGGCTCACGGATTGGGAGTTCCCATTAAAACGGCGGACGAGATGGACATCTGCTCCCTGGGGATTGCCACGAGTATCCACGCTTACGAGGTCCTACAGCGGAAGCCGACGGTCGTCTGCGCATCGGTGGAGAACGGGGCACCGGCCGCCACGATCATCGGACCTCAGCCTGCTGTGCCTCGGGAGGAGGCCTTCGCTGGTTCGAGGCCGGGGGAGTGGAGACCGGGAGGTCGTTCGCCCACACGCTCCTCCCGCAAGCTGGAGCAACCGAAACCTACGACGTCCCTTGTCGTCTGCTACAACTGCGGCCTTCGGGGCCACGTCGCGGCCAGGTGCCGGGCCCCGCGTCAACGCACCGCGGGACCACGTCCGGACGACGACCAGGGACTCAAGACATCCCAACTGAACCCGGCAAGTCGCGGCACCTCACACGCTCGGTCCACACGCACGGCACGTTCGGGTCGCCGCTTAGCGGTGGGGGGACCGTGTATGGGCGCCGGGGGTTCGGTTCGGCGAGAGGGGTCCGCGTACGGCCCGAAGGCAGTCGAGTGGTCCGAATTGGCCCACAGGATTGTGGCTGCGTCGGCCGGGTCGTTCGTGGTAACGGGGTACATTGACGGGGTTGAGGTCCGGGTGCTCGTGGACACGGGTGCGTCGGCCACTATTATTTCGGACCTTATTTATAATATTCTTCCCGTACAATGTCGACCACTTCTGCCGGTGGACGTACCATTTTACGCGGCAAACGGGGGATCTTTGGGAATCATCGGCCAGATTCGGGCGAATATTTGTATTGGCGACATTAAATTGGCGGGTCCTATTTTTGTATCATCATCGTTGGCCGTTCCTTGTTTACTAGGCACGGACTTTCTGTCTAAAATGCCCATAAAAATTCTCATAGACCAGGCCTGCATTGAGCTTCCGTCGGGTCGGCGGGTTGAGTTTTTGAAGAGTCCAAATAAGATACGCACGGCTTGTGCGACGGTGCAGGCGCTGGCAACCCGGACTGTACGGGTGCCCCCGGGATCGCAAATGTTGGTACCCCTTCGGTTGAGAAAACAACTGGGGGCGGATGCGGGGGCGCAGGGAGTTCTATTGGGGCCGTCTAACAGGGCTAAAGGGGACCTCGGCTTAGCGGTGGCCCAGACCATGGTGAGGGGGGACAGTGAGCCGTTCGTTGTGGTCCTGAATACGGGGTCGCGGCCGGCCGTGATTACGCAGGGAACGGTGCTCGCTCACGCCGCGCCGCTACCCGTCGAGGAACAGCTCGTTGCTCACGCCGATTCACATGTCGATACGCATCCCCAAAGTGAGGAGGGGACGGAGTGGTTGGACGCGTTGTGTGCCGGGTCCAGTACCTTGTCCAGTGTGCAGTTGGGTGCATTGAGGGGCTTGCTGCTCGAGTTCGCTGACGTGTTTAGCAGGCACAAGTACGACATTGGCTGCACAGACCTGTTGCGCCACCACATAGAGACTGGGGACGCGGCCCCTATTCGACAGAATCCCTTCCGGCTCAGTCCAGCCGAGAAGGAGCATGTGCAGTCGGCAGTAAATGACATGTTGGCGGCCGACATCATTGCGCCCTCTTCCAGTCCGTGGGGTGCTCCTATCGTCTTGGTTAAAAAACAGGATGGATCCCTGCGGTTCTGTGTTGATTTCCGCCGCCTAAACAAAATATCAATGGCCGATGCGTATCCGCTCCCCAGGATGGATGAGTCGCTGGATGCCTTGGCAGGAGCACAGTTTTTTTCGACGCTCGATTTGCTTTCGGGATTTTGGCAATTGCCCCTCGATGACGAATCAAAACCTAAAACCGCTTTCCGGACACCGGGAGGCCTATTTGAGTTCAACCGATTGCCCATGGGTTTACATTCCGCTCCTGCCACGTTCCAGAGGCTCATGGAATTGGTTTTGGCAGGCCTTCAATGGGACACCTGTTTGATTTACCTCGATGATATCATCGTTTTCAGCCGAACTTTTGAGGAGCACCTCCAGCGACTGAGGGCAGTGTTTCTCAGGATGCGTTCCGCGAAGCTTAAATTTAAACCGGCTAAATGTTTTCTGCTTCGGGAATCGGTCAGGTATTTGGGCCATATCGTTAGCCGTTCGGGGATCTCGACGGACCCTGCTAAGACGCAATGCGTCGGCTCATGGCCAACACCGACCTCTGTTACTGAAGTCCGCAGCTTCATAGGATTTGCCTCCTATTACCGTCGTTTTGTCAAACAGTTTGCCACCATAGCCAGGCCCCTGCACGCCTTGACGGCTAAAGGGGTGCGGTTTCACTGGGGGCCGGAGGAGGAGGCCGCGTTCTGCTCCCTTCGTGACGCCTTGGTGCAGGCTCCCCCCTTGTGTTACCCCGATTTCACGCAACCGTTTGTGCTCGACACGGATGCCAGTAACACGGGTATCGGGGGAGTGCTCTCACAGGTGGTCGGGGGGGTCGAACGGGTGGTCGCCTACGGTAGCAGGGTTCTGTCCCCCGCGGAACAACGCTACTGCGTGACACGGCGTGAATTGCTGGCGATTGTGTTTTTTATACAGCAATTCAGGCCGTATCTGTATGGCCGTCACTTTACGGTTCGCACGGACCATGCGGCTCTCCAATACGCTATGCGGGTGGCGCAGCCATCCGGCCAATTGTCCCGATGGTTGGAGGTCCTTCAGGACTACCAATTCACGACGATTTACCGCAAGGGGTTGCGCCACTCGAACGCGGATGCATTGTCACGGTTGCCGACGCGTACGGAATGCGCATGTCAGTTGGGATCGGCGCGGTGTAAACCTTCTGTCGATGTCCCCGCGGAAGTGGTGCTAGCCGCCACGGATACTACGGGGGTCGACGCCCCCACGGGGAGGGACTCGCTGTTAGCATTGCCTCTCATCGAGTGGGGCCGTCTGCAAATGGCCGACAGCTCCCTACTCGCGCTACGTCGGAAGGTTAACGTTCCCGAGGGCGGGGAAACGCGGGTCGGTTCCTGGGTGTGCAGACAGGGCCTCTTGATGAAGTGGGACTCCATGTCCCGGCGTCACATGCTTGTGGTGCCGGTTGCTGTACGGGGTAAGGTCGTCCTGGCTGCCCATGAACGACTCATGCATCTGGGGTTTCATAAAACGCTCGCCCTCATTCAGCGAGACTACTATTGGCCTGGGATGGGCAGTGACGTGGCGAACATTCTTAAGGGGTGTGTAGGGTGCGCTAAAAGAAAACCGCCACAAATAGCGGCTAATCCACCGCTTCAATCCATTCAAGTTTCGCGCACGAACGAATTGGTCGCGCTAGACATCTTGGGGCCCTTTCCCACTACACCTCGGGGAAATAAGTTCCTGCTGGTTGGCGTAGAGTACTTCACCCGCTGGCCCATGGCGTGGCCACTCGCCAACCAGTCGGCTGCGGCAGTGGCGGACGCCTTTGTCCAAGGTTACGTTTTGGACAAAGGCGCCCCCGAACGCTTGCTGACGGACCAAGGGAAAAACTTTTCGAGTGTTTTGTTGCGCGAGGTGTGCGACCTGTTGGGTACAAAGAAAGTACGTACCTCCCCGTACCCCCCGCAGACTGACGGTATGGTTGAACGTCTGAACAGGACGATTACGTCTATGCTGTGCCAACAGGTATGCGACGACCAGGTGGATTGGGACTTACAGGTACCGGGGGTACTAGCGGCCTATCGGATGGCACCCCATGCGGCGACGGGGTTTTCTCCATTTTTTCTGATGTATGGGCGGGAGGCTGATCCGGCCATGGACGTCCAACTGGGGATTTCACAGCCACGTGCGAAATCAAAATTGGCAGACCACATTAAGTTTAACATCGCCAAATTGGCTGAGGCGCGAGAGGCTGCGAGATTGAATTCACACTCTCGGCAGATCGCGAACGAGCAATTGCGTGAACGGAAGGTGCATACGCACAATTGGGAACCGGGCGATAAGGCCTGGCTGCATTGTCCACACGCACCGTTGGCTACGTCCCCCAAACTGTTGAGACCATGGAGGGGACCGGTGGAAATTGTGCGGGTTGCACGACCCCAGAGTATACAGATTAAATGGGGAAAACGCCGTTGGTACGTGCACTCCTCCCGACTGAAACCCTACGCGGCGCCGCGTGACCCCGGGTTGTGCCGTGACGACCGAGCGTGTGATGTGACCGTCGACTCGGGGAGGGATGTGTCGCAGGCTGATCCTCACGTGTCTCCACCTGACCCACCCCCAGGTGTCTCGGACCTGACGGCTGTTGACCGTCGGGAACCGGAACCCCGCGGCTCGCACGGAGCCCCGATGCCTGGCCCATGCCCTCCTGAACTGCCGGCGCCGCCGGATGGCCAACTGCGTCCTGTGCCGTACGACGGTCCGGCAAGGCGGATTCGGTCAAGGACGCAACACTTTTCATGAAAAAAAAAAAAAAAAAAAAAAATTCTTTTTTTGTTAAAGCCCGACTTCGTTGCCGGCTTCCCCCTCTGCCGGGGTAATGTCCCGTTTAAGGGACGCTCGGACATTGGGACGCTGCATGAGTCGGAGAGAAAAGAAGAGAAAATGATTAAAGAAATTTTTTTTATTGTTACTCTTTCCGCATACACAGTATCGTTGCCATTCGCCGGATTGTGCATGTTGTTCTTGTTGCGGGTGTGGCGGTTGCTGGGTTTTGCGGATTGCGGTGTTCATGTTGTGTTGTTAGGGTTTGTGTTATGTTACGGGGCACACGTGGGGGTGAAGGGGTGTTGTATGTTTTATTAGCAGCCGGGTCGGCTGCGAGCTATGTGGTAGGGGGTGATGTAGTGGTGGTATTGACGTGCGCCGGCAGTGATGGATCACGGGGCGCGGGGTTGGGCACGCGGTGTGGGCGTGGCATGGACGCGCGCGCCGGTGGTGAGGCGCGCTCACACAAGCTGGGAAAAGAGGATCGTAGCGAGTGCGCAGTGATTGGTCAGATAAGTGAGTACTCTCAGCGACGTCCGCAGGAGGGGTATAAAGGGGGACGCGCGAGAGCACTCGTGGTTGAGTGTTAACCAGTTGAAGACCGAAGACGGGGTGGAGGAGGTAGGGGCCCTGTGTGGCTCGGAGCCGAGACTGGGGGGACCGTAGTCCGACGCCCGTGTGGGTCGGGACGGTGGTACCCAGAGCCGAGACGGGCACCCCGGCTGGGTGTGTCCCGGAAGGCTACAGGGCGTAAGAGCCCGTGTCAGTACAGCTAAGTGGGTGTTGGTCACCCGTGTAGCTGAGTGGGTGTTGGTCACCCGTGTAGCTGAGTGGGTGTCCGTCACCCGTGTAGCTAAGTGGGTGTTGGTCACCCGTGTAACGAAGTCGTAGCTGAGTGGGTGTCCGTCACCCGTGTAGCTAAGTGGGTGTTGGTCACCCGTGTAACGAAGTCGTAGCTGAGTGGGTGTCCGTCACCCGTGTAGCTAAGTGGGTGTTGGTCACCCGTGTAACGAAGTAGGGTGTTAGTCATCCGTGTAACTACAAGTTGGTGAAAATAAAGAGTGTGCTACCCGTGAAGTCGTCTCCTGCCGAGTTACTACTTTACACAAACATGACTCCTTGTAAAAAAAGGTGTCAGTTTTGTTGCCAGATAACAGGGTAAAAAAACAATTATGACGTTCTACCTAATTAAATAGACTTTTTAATAAATGTTTTCTCCTACGACATCAGAGTGCAGCGCCACATTAAATACGCACTACGATGACAATAGTTTAAAGCGATTTGAAGCATGTTTTATTTTTTGGCGGGGGGGGGGGGGCAGAGCTTTGTGTTCAAAATCGCGTGACGTCATTTACGGACGGCCCCTTAACACACCTCCCGTTTAATTTGCCAGAGTGGCTAAAACCTTCTTTTTCAGTCCGTATAGTATTCTAACCCAGGGGTCATCACTCCATGGCGGCCATCTGACGTCACGTGTGTGTGTGGGCGCAGGGAACGTGCGGAGCGAGGAGGGAATCCAGCACCGGTCCCCCCCCTCCTCCTTCTCCGCCGTACATCAACCCGAGTTGGACACGACGTTCATCATGTCCAGGAGCAGTAGCGCCATCTCCAGCAGCTACACAGGTGAGGGGGGGGGAGGCAGGGGAGGTAGAGGTTTCAGTTGTATGTATTGGGTATAGCCCCGTGAGCCAATTCGGCTGTTGAATCGGGGGTGCAACCGCAACAAGCAAAAAATTAACCCGTAAAAACAAAGTTTTTCACTATAAATCCTTTATATGCGTGGCGGCTAGAGTCCTCTCGTCCTCTGACTTGAGATGGCTGCCACCTATGGGTCAGATGATTGCATGCAACCATTAAGCAATTGGTAATTTAATATAATTTTTTTGTCCTAAAAAGTGTAAAATTTAGGAAAATTTTTTTCACGAACATTAATTGTCACGCACAACGAGTCTGTGTGGAAAATGTCAGCTCGATTGGATCACGGGAAGTGGGTTGAAAAACGACCGAAAGATTTGCACGGTCGTAAGCGCGCAAGCACGCAAGCAAGTGAACTTAATATAAAGGATTTAAAAACAAAAACATGAACAGGAATATGACAATATCAAGAAGAGCCTTGCCTGTCATACACCAATGAAAAATTCTAGATTTGAAGCTTTCGTGACTGCAAGGATTCATATTCGTATGTTTTTTCGGTAAAGTCGTGTAGGTGAAAAATTTAAATTCAAATGAATAAAAGTAAAATAAAAATAAAATAAAAATCACGACGTTTCGGAGGCAACACAAGCTTCCGTCCACCACCGAAACGTCGTGATTTTTATTTTATTTTTATTTTACTTTTATTAATTTGAATTAAAAATTTTCCACCTACGTGACCTTACCGAAAAAACCTAAGAATACCAATGAAAATATTCGTTACGAAAAGTAAAAAAATAAGAATAATCGAAAAAACCCGGCCGGGTACGGGTAGGGTACGGGTACGGCCGGGTACGGGTACCCGTTTGCGACCCTGGTGCGGCCGGGTACGGGTACGGGTAAGGAATCAAAACCCGTTTGCGACCTCTGGTCTAGGGACTTGCTCAACGCTGCCACTCGATGCCTGCCGCTTCTTGCCCTCTGCCGCAGACCTGGGTAACAGGCCCGCGTCTCCGCTGCCCGCGAGCCCCCAGGTGTCCCCGGCGGCTCCTCCGGCAGGCGGTGGTGGCGGCCGACCCACGCGGCTCACACGGTGACTCCCGGACGGGCGTCTCTCGCGCTCTCCCGCGCCTCGCCGGGACAGGATGAAACGCCAACGCAGCCACCGCTACCGCCACCGCTATCACAGCCATCACCGCCACCGCAGCCACCGCCACCACCACCACCACTGCCACCACAGCCACCACCACCGCCACCACCGCCACCACAGCTACCGCCACCACCACCACCGCCACCACCGCCACCGCCACCACCGCCACCACCACCACCGCAGCCACCGCAGCCACCGCAGCCACCACCACCACCGCAGCTACCACCGCCACCACCGCCACTACCGCCACCGCTATCATCACCACCATCACCACTCTGATGAACCCACGGGGGCAGAAACGACGCCTAGGAACAACAACATGCAGCAGAGGGCGAGGGGGGGATACTCGCGAACATCAAGGAGGGAACGGACTCCCACGGTGGTTAGATGTTGACTACCTCGCCTGGTGTGCAGGAGGTCGTGGGTTCGATCCCGACCCCGACGCCCGCTGCTGTGTATTTGGAGTTTGCGTGTCTCTCTCTCATCATCGTCACGGAGGCTAGGAGATGTTAACTACCTCGCCTGGTATGCAGGAGATCGTGGGTTTGATCCCGACTCCGACGCCCGTTGCTGTGTATTTGGAGTTTGCGTGTCTCTCTCTCATCATCGTCACGGTGGCTAGGAGATGTTAACTACCTCGCCTGGTCTACAGGAGGTCGTGGGTTCAATCTCGACCCTGACGCCTGCTGCTGTATATTTGGAGTTTGCGTGTCTCTATCTCATCATCATCATCACGGTGGCTAGGAGATGTTGACTACCTCGCCTGGTGTGCAGGAGGTCGTGGGTTTGATCCCGACCTTGACGCCTGTTGTGTATATGTGGAGTTTGCGTGTCTCTCTCTCATCATCACGGAGGCGAGATGTCATATTTGATGGGGGGGGGGGGGGGTCTGACTTTTTGTGACGCCTTGTGACGATGGGGGGGGGGGGGGTCAAAAATCGGCCAAAATCGCGTGACGTCATTTATGGATGACCCCTCCATCGTAAAAAAAAAAAATTGTAAAAAAATCCACAAGGGGTTTGATTAGACAATGTGAGTTGTAACTTAATTTGTGTTTCGATTTAAAGCTTTCGTGACTTGCAGGGATTCATCTTCTTGGTTCTTTCCGTAAAGTCACGTAGAAGGGAAGTAATAAAATAATAAAAATAAAACATAATAAAATAATATTATAATATATTTTATTATGTTTTATTTTTATTATTTTATTAAAATAATAAAAAAACAATAAAATAAGACAAAATAATAGTATATTTTATTATTTATATTTTTATTATTTTATTAAATTAATAAAAATAAAAGATAATAAAATAATAAAATAGAATAATAAGAAATTTTCTCATGGTTTTTTTTATTTTATTTTATTATTCCCCTTCTACGTGACTTTCCCGAAAGAACCAAGAAGATCATTTGTGTTTGCGACGATGTTTACCCTCCAATAAAAATCCGTCCGCGGGTCTCGCTTACCCCACCAGAAAGGGCTGAGCTAGAGCCAAGCGTCAATGGGGGTATCATCATCATCATCAGTGCGGTGTTGATGGCCGCATCAACTTCCGTCCATTGCAAAACCACTCCGCCGCTATTCTACCGCGCGGCGTCCGACGTTTCGCTGCACGGTCCACGAAGTGGGCGCGTTACGCAGCGCGACCGCTCGAAAAATAACCCACGCGTCATGCCAGCGTCATGCTAGCGTCATGCCAGCGTCATGCCAGCGTCATGCTAGCGTCATGCTAGCGTCATGCCAGCGTCATGCCAGCGTCATGCTAGCGTCATGCCAGCGTCATGCCAGCGTCATGCCACCGTCATGCCAGCATCATGCTAGCGTCATGCCACCGTCATGCCAGCGTCATGCCAGCGTCATGCTAGCGTCATGCCACCGTCATGCCAGCGTCATGCCACCGTCATGCCAGCGTCATGCTAGCGTCATGCCACCGTCATGCCAGCGTCATGCCAGCATCATGCCACCGTCATGCCACCGTCATGCCAGCGTCATGCCACCGTCATGCCAGCGTCATGCTAGCGTCATGCCAGCGTCATGCCAGCGTCATGCCACCGTCATGCCAGCGTCATGCCACCGGGGGACGGAGGTCGCCCCAGGCAACCGCCGCCACCCACGCGTAGAACCACGTCGCACTCGAACCGAATTCATCGCTCCGTCTCCCCTCCCCATAGGGGGCCGTCCGTAAATGACGTCACGCGATTTTGAACGATTTTTGACCCCCCCCCCCACTCGTCACATGACGTCACAAAAAGTCAGACCCCCCCCCTAAAATATGACGTCACAAAGCTGTGCCCCCACCCCCCCCCCAAAAAACATTTCCATTTTGTAAAAGAAAACATGCTTCAAACCGCTTTAAGCTATCGTCATTGTGGAGTGCGTATTTAATGTGGCGCTGCACTCTGATGTTGTAAGAAATGTTGTTATAACAATTAGTGTTGTTATAACAATTCTACATTTATTTAAAGTTGCGCATTTTTACGTGACGTCACATTTCTCAAACCCTCCCCCTCCTCCTCGTCACACATCGTCACAAATATCTGACCCCCCCCCCGCTCCAAGGTGCGTGACGTCATTTATGGACGGCCCCAAACCCCCTCTCCCAGACGCGTTCCATTCCTCGTGAATGTGGCGGTCGATGGGCTCCATTGTTATCGCGTTGCCTATCGGGACAGGGCAGCCACGGCTGTGTGTCTGTGGGTGGGGTGGGTGGGTGGGTGGGGTGGTTGGGGTGGGTGAGGTGGGTGGGGTGGGGTGGGTGGGGTGGGGTGGGTGAGGTGGGTGGGGTGGGTGGTTGGGTGGGGTCATTGGGGTGGTTGGGTGGGTGGGTGGGTGGGGTGGGTGGTTGGGTGGTGGGGTGGGTGGGGTGGTTGAGGTGGGTGGGTGGGGTGGTGGGGTGGGTTGGGTGGTGGGGTGGGTGAGGTGGGTGGGGTGGTTGGGTGGGGTCATTGGGTGGTGGTGGGGTGGGGTGGGGTGGGTTGGGGTGGTGGGGTGGGTGGGGGTGGTGGGGGTGGTTGGGTGGGGTGGTTGGGGTGGTGGGTGAGGTGGGGGGTGGGTGGTGGTGGGGTGGTTGGGGTGGGTGGGTGAGGTGGGTGGTGTGGGTGGGGTGGTGGGGTGGGTGGGTGAGGTGGGTGGGTGGGGTGGGTGGGTGAGGTGGGTGGGGTGGGTGGGGGTGGTGGGGTGGGTGAGGTGGGTGGGGTGGGGTGGGTGGGGAGGTGGGTGGGGTGGGTGGGGTGGTGGGGTGGGGTGGGTGGGTGGGGTGGTTGGGGTGGGGTGGGGTGGGGTAGGTGGGGTGGGTGGGGTAGGTGGGGTGGGTGGGGTGGTTGGGTGGGGTGGTTGGGTGGGGGTGGGTGGTGGTGGTTGGGTGGGTGGGGGTGGGTGGGGTGGGGTGGTTGGGGTGGGTGGGTGAGGTGGGATGGGTGGGTGGTTGGGGTGGGGTTGGGGTGGGTGGGTGAGGTGGGTGGGGTGGGTGGGGTGGTTGGGGTGGGTGGGTGAGGTGGGTGGGGTGGGGTGGGTGGGTGAGGTGGGTGGGGTGGGGTGGGTTGGGGTGGGTGGGTGAGGGGGGTGGGGTGGGTGGGTGGGGTGGTTGGGGGGGTGGGTGAGGTGGGTGGGGGTGGGGTGGGGTAGGTGGGGGTGGTTGGGGTGTGGTGGGGTGGTGTGGGTGGTGGAGGTTGGGTTGGGGTGGGTGGGTGGGGTGGTGGGGTGGGGTGGGTGAGGTGGGTGGGTGTGGTGGTTGGGGTGGTTGGGGTGGGTGGGTGAGGTGGGTGGGGGGGGGGTGGTGGGGTGGGTGGGGTGAGGTGGGTGAGGGTGGGTGGGTGGGTGGGTGGGGTGGTTGGGGTGGGTGGGTGAGGTGGTTGGGGGGTGGGTGGGGTGGTGGGGGGGTGGGTGGGGTGGGGTGGTGTGGTGGGTGGGTGATGTGGTGGTGAGGTGGTTGGGGTGGATGGGTGGGGTGGTTTGGGGTGGGTGGGGTGGGTGGGTGGGTGGGTGGGTGGGGTGGGTGGGTGAGGTGGGTGGGGTGGTGGGTGGGTGAGGTGGGTGGGGTGGGTGGCGTGGTTGCGGTTGGGTGGGTGGGGTGGTTGGGGTGGGGTGGGGTGGGGTAGGTGGGGTGGGTGGGGTGGTTGGGTTGGGGTGGTTGGGTGGGGTGGGTGGGGTGGTTGGGGTGGTTGGGTGGGGTGGGTGGTTGGGTGGGGTGGGTGGGTGGGTGGGGTGGTTGGGGTGGTTGGGTGGGGTGGGTGGGGTGGTTGGGTGGGGTGGGTGGGTGGTTAGGTTGGGGTGGGTGGGGTGGTTGGGTGGTTGGGTGGTGGGTGGGGTGGGTGGGGTGGTTGGGGTGGTTGGGGTTGGGTTGGGGTGGGTGGGGTGGGTGGGGTGGTTGGGGTGGTTGGGGTGGTTGGGTGGGGTGGCTGGGGTGGGTGGTTGGGTGGGTGTGGGGTGGTTGGGTGGGGTGGGTGGGGTGGGTGGGTGGTTGGGGTGGGGTGGGTGGTGGGGTTGGGTGGGGTGGTTGGGTGGGGTGGGGTGGTTGGGGTGGTGGGTGGGGTGGGTGGTTGGGGTGGTTGGGTGGGGTGGGTGGGTGGGTTGGGGTGGTTGGGTGGGGTGGGTGGGGGGTGGGTGGGGTGGTTGGGGTGGTTGGGTGGGGTGGGTGGGGTGGTTGGGGTGGTTGGGTGGGGTGGGTGGGGTGGTTGGGGTGGTTGGGTGGGTGGGGTGGTTGGGGTGGGTGGGGTGGGTGGGGTGGTTGGGGTGGTTGGGTGCGTGGGGTGGTTGGGTGGGGTGGTTGGGGTGGGGTGGTTGGGTGGGGTGGGGTGGTTGGGGTGGGGTGGGGTGGTTGGGGTGGGTGAGGTGGGGTGGTTGGGGTGGGTGGGGTGGGTGAGGTGGGGTGGGTGGGGTGGGTGAGGTGGGTGCGGTGGTTCGGGTGGTTGGGGTGGTGTAGGTGGGGTGGGGTGGGTGGGGTGAGGTGGGTGGGGTGGTTGGGGTGGTGTAGGTGGGGTGGGGTGGGTGGGGTGAGGTGGGTGGGGTGGTTGGTCAGCCTTGTGAGTGGTGCCCGAGACAAGAATGCGAGCCTGCGGCTAGAGTTGTGATTCACGGGTGGCGATGCGTGTTCGTGGGTGGCGGTTCAAGCGGCATTTGGAATTCCCCCCCGAGGATTGTTTATTTTCACTGCTCGGCACCGCTGATGAGCTCCACCCGGGCTAGAGAGAGATACGCAGTTGTCCCACGGCGTAGATTTTTGGTGGCTTTCCGATGTTTTTTTTGGGGGGGGGGGGGGGTGGGGGGGGGGATGGTTCGTAATGGCCATGTCATAGTGCAGGAGTGGCTGGGGAAACTACGGCTTCTTCGTGGACCGCACATGGCCCCTGGACTTCACAGTTGGACCCGCGATGTTCGGCGTTTCGCTCCGCGCGCTGGTAGCTTCTCCAGGAAATGAATGGAGTAGCTCGCGTTGCTCTAGAGAAGAGAACGAGAGGCAGGAGAGTGAGTGAAGGGGGGGTAGAGCAGAGGTCGCAAACGGGTTTTGATTCCTTACCCGTACTCGGCCGCACCAGGGTCGCAATCGGCTACCCGTACCCGGCCGGGTACGGGTAGGGTACGGGTATTGGGTACCCGATTGCGACCTCTGGGATGAAGCCATGTTGCAGGTGCGGGTGGGTTGATTCTAGGAACTTGAATTGTGAGAAGAGACAAGACGTTGGGAAATGAGTGACACACGGTGACTCACCAGTGACTCACGGCCTACCCGTACCCGGCCGCACCAGGGTCGCAAACGGGTACCCGTACCCGGCTGGATACGGGTAGCCGGGTATCGGGTAGGGTACGGGTATCGGGTACCCGATTGCGACCTCTGGGGTAGAGTGAGATGGTGAGCTGCGAGGGGAGAGCTATGAGAGTGAGTAGAGGGGAGAGAGTGGAGGGGATTGGGATGAAAGAGGTAGCAGTGGAGGAGAGTAGAGTGAGATGAGAGAGGTAGGAGAGTGAGTGGATAGGGAGTAGAGTGAGATGAGAGATTGGAGAGTGTGTGGGAGAGTGTGGAGGGGAGTAGAGTGAGATGAGAGGGGAGAGGCAGGAGAGTGCGTGGAGGGGAGTAGAGTGAGATGAGAAGGGAGAGGCAGGAGAGTGCGTGGAGGTGAGTAGAGTGAGATGAGAGGGGGAGAGGTAGGAGAGTGAGTGGAGGGGAATAGAGTGAGATGAGAGGGGAGAGGCAGGAGAGTGCGTGGAGGGGAATAGAGTGAGATGAGAGGAGAGAGTGGAGAGTGCGTGGAGGGGAGTAGAGTGAGATGAGAGGGGAGAGGCAGGAGAGTGCGTGGAGGGGAGTAGAGTGAGATGAGAGGGGGAGAGGCAGGAGAGTGCGTGGAGGGGAGTAGAGTGAGATGAGAGGGGAGAGGCAGGAGAGTGCGTGGAGGGGAGTAGAGTGAGATGAGAAGGGAGAGGCAGGAGAGTGCGTGGAGGGGAGTAGAGTGAGATGAGAAGGGAGAGGCAGGAGAGTGCGTGGAGGTGAGTAGAGTGAGATGAGAGGGGGAGAGGTAGGAGAGTGAGTGGAGGGGAATAGAGTGAGATGAGAGGGGAGAGGCAGGAGAGTGCGTGGAGGGGAGTAGAGTGAGATGAGAAGGGAGAGGCAGGAGAGTGCGTGGAGGGGAGTAGAGTGAGATGAGAGGGGAGAGGCAGGAGAGTGCGTGGAGGGGAGTAGAGTGAGATGAGAAGGGAGAGGCAGGAGAGTGCGTGGAGGGGAGTAGAGTGAGATGAGAAGGGAGAGGCAGGAGAGTGCGTGGAGGGGAGTAGAGTGAGATGAGAGGGGAGAGAGTGAAGAGTGAGTGGAGGGGAGTAGAGTGAGATGAGAGAGATTAGAGAGAGTGGAGAGGGGGCTTGGAATGAAAGCTCGCTTTGTCTCTTGTGCAGGTGCCTTCACCCAGGTATGCACGGTGACGAGTTTTTTCCGGTTTCGTCACGTGATCTTCTTTTGGACCTCGGTTGTTTTTAAATCCTTTATATTAAGTTCACTTGCTTGCTTGCTTGCGCGCTTACGACCGTGCAAATCTTTCGGTCGTTTTTTAACCCACTTCCCGTGATCCAATCGAGCTGACATTTTGCACACAGACTCGTTGTGCGTGACAATTTATTTTCGTGAAAATGTTTTTCCAAAATTTTTCACTTTTTAGGAAAAAATAAATTTTATTTAATTACCAATTGCTTAATGGTGGCAGGCAATCATCTGACCCATAGGTGGCAGCCATCTCAAGCCAGAGGACGAGAGGACTCTAGCCGCCACGCATATAAAGGATTTATAGTGAAAAACTTAGTTTTTACGGGTTAATTTTTCGGCGCTCCGATTGCCGCTGAACTTTCTTTGCTGCTTCGTTTCGGTGAACGCTGGTCAACGTCTAATAATAGGTTTTTACCCTTTTTTCTAGTAATAGGTTTTTACTCTTTTATCTGGTACCAAAATTGACACCTTTATACAAGGGATCATGTTTGCAATAACCACAACACAAGTATTCAAAATGCAAACAAGAAGAGACAACTCTGATAATGATATGCACCGTCCTTGAAATTGATTGGTCCACACCCGAGACAGCTTTTCTTAGAGCCTAGTCTCACATGGTGTTGGACCAGATGACGCCAAAAGGCGCACAACTCAAAAATAGCGCACTATCAGAGTATTGAGAGCTCAGGGTAAGCATTTACATTATCAGAGTTGTGTTTTTTTGTTTGCATTTTGACTGCTTGTGTTGTGGTTATTGCAAACATGATCCCTTGTCGATTTAAAGCTTTCGTGACTGCAGGGATTCATCTTCTTGGTTCTTTCGGTAAAGTCACGTAGAATGGAAATAAGGCGCTCTTCCTCCTCCCTCCAAGCTTAAATAGACGCTCCAAGCCTGGGGTGTGTCATTCAGACGCTGTCTTCTCGACAGACCTGGTCTTCACCTGAGGACGGCTGCTTGCGTTGTGGCCGAAACGTCGTGAGAATTATTTTATTGTGTTTTATTTTTATTGTTTTATTATTTCCCTTCTACGTGACTTTACCGAAAGAACCAAGAAGATGATCCCTTGTATAAAGGTGTCAGTTTTGGTGCCAGATGAAAGGGTAGAAACCTATTACTTTATCTGGCTACTGGCAAAAGACGTCTCATAATGAACAAAGCTGGTCAACATGTCGTGCGCGCACTCTCTCCCGGGTTTGTAACAAAAATTTAACTTAAAACCGCGTTCCTCAATAAGGCACCAGCGCGCGGAGCGAAACGTCGGACATCGTGCCAAACAAACGCACCGTACGCAACACAAAACAGGAGTGCTTCTTGAGCAATCCAAGAGGAGAGAAATATTCATGCGGTGATTGCAGATTATTGTTGCTTAATCGTTTAGAGGCAAGAGTTTGAACTGTGTTCCAAACTGAAGCATTTGTATTGAGTTTGATGTCACGCCATCGTGCCTGTAATTGCATCGTGATGTGTCAATACTATTGATTTGAAATGGTAATAAAGATCTGCGAGTGAAAATGTTTTGCCGTTTCGATGTAAAGCTTTCGTGACTGCAGGGATTCATCTTCTTGGTTCTTTCGGTAAAGTCATCACGTAGAAGGGAAGTAATAAAATAATAAAAATAATACATAATAACATAATTCTCACGACGTTTCGGCCACAACGCAAGCAGCCGTCCTCAGGTGAAGACCAGGTCTGTCGGGGAGACAGCGTCCCTTCTACGTGACTTTACCGAAAGAACCAATAAGATATTCTTAGGTTTTTTCGGTAAAGTCACGTAGGTAAAACATTAAAATTACTAAAAGTAAAATAAAATAAAAATCACGACGTTTCGGAGGCAACACAAGCTTCCGTCTTCAGGTGGAACCGTCACAGCCACGACAGCTGTATCAAGTAGATGAGAGATTGCAGGAGCTACCACTCCGTTTATATAATGGTTGGAGAAGGGGGGGGGGGGTAAGGGCCAAATACAGCACACTTTTTATTCATATGGTAAGGTGAGGTTTATTGTTTTACCTACGTGACTTTACCGAAAAAAAAAACCCAAGAATATAAATCATTGCAGTCACGAAAGCTTCAAATCTAGAACCAATAAGATGTTTTGCTGTCTGCATGGATGGCAATGCCACCATCATCAGCCATGATCGAGCCACTGCTGGATGGAGACACATCTCCCCATTCTATGCCCGCAATGTGACAATCCACCAGAATCCCGACAGACGCGCCGATTTTCAACGCTCCATCTCCCCCCCCGGCCTTGATGGACATCACTGGGAAGAGCCACCACCACATGCCATCTGCAGATCGATTATCGTGCAGAAACTACAACGTTTATCCTGCAAAGTCCCATCACAAGGCGGGAGAAACAACCAAATAGACATCTTCTTGGTTCTTTCGGTAAAGTCACGTAGAAGGGAAGTAATACAATAATAAAAATAAAACATAAAATAATTCTCACGACGTTTCGGCTACAACGCAAGCAGCCGTCTTCAGGTGAAGAATGAGACACTGCCAAGCTTGCAGCTTATATATAAGCTGGGTTGGAGGTGGAAGAAGAGCGCCTTGACAAAAGAATGTGCATATCAAGATGAATTTAGCATATTCATGGTAAATGCGTAGGAATATGCTAAATTCCTCTTGATATGCATATATACACTACAATACACTACACTACTATGTACTACACTATACACTACTATACACTACACTATACACTACTATACACTACACTGTAGTGTATAGTAGTGTAGTGTATAGTAGTGTATAGTGTAGTGTATATTATAGTAGTGTATAGGCGTGTATAGTGTAGTGTATAGTAGTGTATAGTGTAGTGTATAGTAGTGTATAGTGTAGTGTATAATAGTGTAGTGTATAGTGTAGTGTATAATAATGTAGTGTATAGTGTAGTGTATAATAATGTAGTGTATAGTGTAGTGTATAATAATGTAGTGTATAGTGTAGTGTATAGTGTATAGTAGTGTACTGTATAGTGTATAATAATGTAGTATATAGTGTATAGTAGTGTATAGTGTAGTGTATAGTAGTGTATAGTGTAGTGCTGTACACGTGACACGGTCTGGCCGGGGTTGCCCCCCCCCCCTGACGCGGTGGGGTGCGTCACGTGACCCGCCCCCCCCTCGTGGTCTCGCTCGATGTGTGAACGAGGAAGAATGTTCAATGGCTGATTCGAAGCAGCAGCTGCAACAACAACAACAACCACCACAACCACAACAACCACAACAACAACAACACTGCATCAACATCGTCACGATCACCGCTGAGTAACCGGTGAGTCTCGTCGACATCGTAACTCGCCCTCGGTTAACACTTTGGATGGTAACCCGCTCCGCTAACTTTATTTTTTATTTTTTTATTTTATTTTTTCTACCTACGCGACTTTACGGAAAGCTGCAGAGTGAGTGGATTCCTGCATGTTTGTTATCACCCAAAGACGTTGTTGGTCGTTGTTTAAAAAATGTTTTTTTTTTTTAACGTGGGCGGGAAAGTGTCTCGCTTTTGTGTCGACTCAGCCTTAAATGAGTACCTGGTGCGGTGTGTAGTAAACATCGCCACTGGGGAGACAAAGGCGGCCGGGCGTGGTGTTGGCCACCCACCCACCACGTGTGCCGTGCCGGCCTTCATAGGTGCTGCTACTCGCTAACAACACTTGCCCCTACAGTCTGTAGAGGCTACACGGGGGATCTTTGTCTTTGTGTGTGTGTGTAGTTAGTGTGGTGTGGTGAGACTGTGTGTGTGTAGTTAGTGTGGTGTGGTGAGACTGTGTGTGTGTAGTTAGTGTGGTGTGACTGTGTGTGTGTACTGAATGTGTGGTGTGGTGAGCCTGTGTGTGTGTAGTTAGTGTGGTGTGGTGAGCCTGTGTGTGTGTGTGTACTGAATGTGTGGTGTGGTGAGCCTGTGTGTGTGTGTAGTTAGTGTGGTGTGGTGAGCCTGTGTGTGTGTGTGTAGTTAGTGTGGTGCGACTGTGTGTGTGTAGTTAGTGTGGTGAGTCTGTGTGTGTGTACTGAATGTGTGGTGTGGTGAGCCTGTGTGTGTGTGTGTACTGAATGTGTGGTGTGGTGAGCCTGTGTGTGTGTAGTTAGTGTGGTGTGGTGAGTCTGTGTGTGTGTAGTTAGTGTGTGGTGTGGTGAGCCTGTGTGTGTGTGTAGTTAGTGTGGTGTGGTGAGTCTGTGTGTGTGTAGTTAGTGTGGTGTGGTGAGCCTGTGTGTGTGTGTAGTTAGTGTGGTGTGGTGAGACTGTGGTGTGTGTAGTTAGTGTGGTGTGACTGTGTGTGTGTACTGAATGTGTGGTGTGGTGAGCCTGTGTGTGTGTAGTTAGTGTGGTGTGGTGAGTCTGTGTGTGTGTAGTTAGTGTGGTGTGGTGAGTCTGTGTGTGTGTAGTTAGTGTGGTGTGGTGAGACTGTGTGTGTGTAGTTAGTGTGGTGTGACTGTGTGTGTGTACTGAATGTGTGGTGTGGTGAGCCTGTGTGTGTGTAGTTAGTGTGGTGTGGTGAGTCTGTGTGTGTGTAGTTAGTGTGGTGTGGTGAGTCTGTGTGTGTGTAGTTAGTGTGTGGTGTGGTGAGCCTGTGTGTGTGTGTAGTTAGTGTGGTGTGGTGAGTCTGTGTGTGTGTAGTTAGTGTGTGGGGTGGTGAGCCTGTGTGTGTGTGTAGTTAGTGTGGTGTGGTGAGTCTGTGTGTGTGTAGTTAGTGTGGTGTGGTGAGTCTGTGTGTGTGTAGTTAGTGTGGTGTGGTGAGTCTGTGTGTGTGTAGTTAGTGTGTGGTGTGGTGAGCCTGTGTGTGTGTAGTTAGTGTGGTGTGGTGAGTCTGTGTGTGTGTAGTTAGTGTGTGGTGTGGTGAGCCTGTGTGTGTGTGTAGTTAGTGTGGTGTGGTGAGTCTGTGTGTGTGTAGTTAGTGTGTGGTGTGGTGAGCCTGTGTGTGTGTGTAGTTAGTGTGGTGTGGTGAGTCTGTGTGTGTGTAGTTAGTGTGGTGTGGTGAGTCTGTGTGTGTGTAGTTAGTGTGGTGTGGTGAGTCTGTGTGTGTGTAGTTAGTGTGGTGTGGTGAGACTGTGTGTGTGTGTAGTGTGGTGTGGTGAGCCTGTGTGTGTGTGTAGTGTGGTGTGGTGAGCCTGTGTGTGTGTAGTTAGTGTGGTGTGGTGAGTCTGTGTGTGTGTAGTTAGTGTGGTGTGGTGAGTCTGTGTGTGTGTAGTTAGTGTGGTGTGGTGAGCCTGTGTGTGTGTAGTTAGTGTGGTGTGACTGTGTGTGTGTACTGAATGTGTGGTGTGGTGAGACTGTGTGTGTACTTAATGAGTGTTGTGGTGAGCCTGTGTGTGTGTGTAGTTGGTGTGGTGAGACTGTGTGTGTGTGTAGTTAGTGTGGTATGGTGAGACTGTGTGTGTGTGTAGTTAATGTGGTGTGGTGAGCCTGTGTGTGTGTGTAGTTAGTGAGTGGTGTGGTGAGACTGTGTGTGTGTAGTTAGTGTGGTGTGACTGTGTGTGTGTACTGAATGTGTGGTGTGGTGAGACTGTGTGTGTGTGTAGTTAGTGTGATGTGGTGAGCCTGTGTGTGTGTAGTTAGTGTGGTGTGGTGAGTCTGTGTGTGTGTGTGTAGTTAATGAGTGGTGTGGTGAGCCTGTGTGTGTGTGTGTAGTTAGTGAGTGGTGTGGTGAGACTGTGTGTGTGTAGTTAGTGTGGTGTGGTGAGTCTGTGTGTGTGTGTGTAGTTAGTGTGGTGTGGTGAGACTGTGTGTGTGTGTGTAGTTAGTGAGTGGTGTGGTGAGCCTGTGTGTGTGTAGTTAATTCTAGAGGTGGTGGTGGGGGGGTAACGTGGCCTACGTACGGCGCGAAAGAAGTTTGACCGCGTGCGTTGTTATAGTGAGGCTCCGTCTCGAGGGGTGACGAGGGGGAGATGCTGGGGGTGGTGGTGGTGGTTGTTGTGGTGGTTGTTGTTGTGGTTGTTGTGGTGGTTGTGGTGGTGGTTGTTGTTGTGGTTGTTGTGGTGGTTGTGGTGGTGGTTGCTGTTGTGGTTGTTGTGGTGGTTGTGGTGGTGGTTGTGGTGGTGGTTGTTGTTGTGGTGGTGGTTGTTGTGGTTGTTGTGGTTGTTGTGGCGGTTGTTGTGGTGGTTGTTGTGGTGGTGGTTGCTGTTGTTGTGGTTGTTGTTGTGGTTGTTGTGGTGTGTGGTGGTGGTTGTTGTGGTTGTTGTGGTGGTTGTGGTGGTGGTTGTTGTGGTGGTTGTGTTGTTGTGGTGGTGGTTGTTGTGGTTGTTGTGGTTGTTGTGGCGGTTGTTGTGGTGGTTGTTGTGGTGGTGGTGGTTGGGGTAGTGGTGGTGGTTGTTGTGGTGGTTGTTATTGTGGTTGTTGGTGTTGTGGTTGTTGTGGTGGTTGTTGTGGTGGTGGTTGTTGTTGTTGTTGTGGTGGTTGTTGTTGTAGTTGTTGTGGTTGTTGTGGCGGTTGTTGTGGTGGTGGTGGTGGCGGTGGTGGTTGGGGTAGTGGTGGTGGTTGTTGTGGTGGTTGTTATTGTGGTTGTTGGTGTTGTGGTTGTTGTGGTGGTTGTTGTGGTGGTGGTTGTTGTTGTTGTTGTGGTGGTTGTTGTTGTGGTGGTTGTGGTTGTGGTGGTGGTTGTTGTGGTGGTGGTTGTTATTGTGGTTGTGGTGGTTGTTGTGGTGGTGGTTGTTGTGGTGGTTGTCGACCCTGGCAATATTCGGAGCAGTCTCCCCCCCCCCCCTCGTCTCAATAATTCTCACGACGTTTCGGCCACAACGCAAGCAGCCGTCCTCAGGTCATTTCAGACGCTGTCTCCCCGACAGACCTGGTCTTCACCTGAGGACGGCTGCTTGCGTTGTGTCCGAAACGTCGTGAGAATTATTTTATTATGTTTTATTTTTATTATTTTATTATTTCCCTTCTACGTGACTTTACCGAAAGAACCAAGAAGATGAATCCCTGCAGTCACGAAAGCTTTAAATCGAAATATTATATTATTATATTATAGTATTATATTATTTAAATATAGAATAACATTATTTTGATATTTTATTATTTTATTTTATTATTATATTATTGTTTCATTTTTATTATTTTATTACTTCCCTTCTACGTGACTTTACCGAAAGAACCAAGAAGATGAATCCCTGCAGTCACGAAAGCTTTAAATCGAAATATTATATTATTATATTATAGTATTATATTATTTAAATATAGAATAACATTATTTTGATATTTTTTTATTTTATTATTATATTATTGTTTTATTTTTATTATTTTATTATTTCCCTTCTACGTGACTTTACCGAAAGAACCAAGAAGATGAATCCCTGCAGTCACGAAAGATTTAAAATCGAAATATAATAATATTATATTATTATATTAGTGTATTATTTGAATATAGTATAATATTATTTTATTATTATTTTATCATATAATTTTATTATTTTATTCCATTATATTATTATTTATTATTATTTTATTACTTCCCTTCTACGTGACTTTACCGAAAGAACCAAGAAGATGAATCCCTGCAGTCACGAAAGATTTAAAATCGAAATATAATAATATTATATTATTATATTAGTGTATTATTTGAATATAGTATAATATTATTTTATTATTATTTTATCATATAATTTTATTATTTTATTCCATTATATTATTATTTATTATTATTTTATTACTTCCCTTCTCCGTGACTTTACCGAAAGAACCAAGAAGATGAATCCCTGCAGTCACGAAAGATTTAAAATCGAAATATAATAATATTATATTATTATATTAGTGTATTATTTGAATATAGTATAATATTATTTTATTATTATTTTATCATATAATTTTATTATTTTATTCCATTATATTATTATTTATTATTATTTGTTTCTTCCCTTCTACGTGACTTTACCGAAAGAACCAAGAAGATGAATCCCTGCAGTCACGAAAGATTTAAAATCGAAATATAATAATATTATATTATTATATTAGTGTATTATTTGAATATAGTATAATATTATTTTATTATTATTTTATCATATAATTTTATTATTTTATTCCATTATATTATTATTTATTATTATTTTATTACTTCCCTTCTACGTGACTTTACCGAAAGAACCAAGAAGATGAATCCCTGCAGTCACGAAAGCTTTAAATCGACATTTATTAAAGCTGTTACAATATTACACAGCAGGGTACACAACTCCCGGGGGCTAGAGGTCCCCTACTCCGAGTCCGGGTCCCTGCCGGCTTGCTCCGGTCTCTTTCTCTCGTGTCGGATCGTGGGACTTTGCCGACTCCACCGAGCGGAGAGAGAT